GCCTACGATTTACATATCAGGATAAAACAGCTCTTCAGTCTCCAACGCTTTTAACGATTCTTCAAACGTCAGACCACTTCGAAATCAAGCAATCAGCTCAGACCTTCATAATGAAGTAAAAAACACCTGTAAAGTGGAAGTTCTACATTTAATTATTTGTGATGTATGTCTATGAAAGTAGACTATTTAAGTTCTCCCAATTACGCTAAATTTAAATTTGTTGCTGACTTTTGAAAGCTTGAATTTATACATCCTGTCCAGTTTTTAAGTAAACTTTACAACTTTGGAGCTGAGCATGACATGCTCAAATCACTAACACTACATTTGTTTACTTAAATATTTAGACAAAGCTTACTGATATACTTCAGCATTCTCAGAAATTCATTTCATAATTTTCTGTCAGTTGCCTTTAAGTGTTAAGTGTAATGCATGTTAATTCGGTATGTAGGGCAAATGATCTTCGTAGAGATATTACGAATCAAGTCAAGGGAATTCTGTCAACACTTGTCGTTGACTGTCTTTAATTTTCCTAACACACGATATTTTAAGAGTATGAACAGTGGCATATGGACTTACACAGTTAATGTTGAAAATTCTTTTGAAAAAAAAAACACAGATAGGAGGTCTTTATCACTTCCTATTTATAGCTTGATGGTTTGGCTACTTATAAATAATGTGACGCAACAAACAGTTATATAACTTATTGTAGAAGGGAGTTTTCTTTACGGTTTTAGGTATGGTCCACGGAGAAGTAACTTCAAGAGATGATACTGTACAACAATTCCCCTCAGAGATCTGAGAAGACATTCAAGCTAAAAAATTTCCCATAGATATCTCATCTTTGATAAGAGTGTTTTTCCGGGAACTTAGGAGTTTATGTCAGTATTATTAGTTCTTCGAAGTCAGTCAAAAGAAGCATATTATATTCTTGACATTTTGCAAAAACTTATCGGGAAACATTTATGTACTACTTGGTTGGTAGTATATAGAATGAGAATAAAATTAAAATTATTTCATTTTTTTCCAGTTTCTTTTTCTTTAAGGTGTTAGTATTATGAGGAATATGTATGATTTGTTTATTTATATAAGTTGAGGATCCCGATACATTTTCTTAAATTAGATTCAGAAGTAGTCCTAGCTAATTTTACCAAACGTTATACCTCACATCATTTAACTAGATATGTACAGCAGATATATGCTGGCTTTAGTAAACAGAAATCAGTAGAATGACTTCATAGGCGTTCGGTATCCATCAACCCACCGTACATGAAGCGCAAAACGTTTTGGAGAAGCCTTTGTATGAAAAAAGTAGGCTTACGAATATCTTACACACCGAAATATGATCCTGTTTAAAATAAATAACCAACTATGTGTAAAGATACCTTCCTAAATGCATGAATTAGTAAGCTAAAGTAGACTTCTGTTAATCATTCGTTTAGGCACTAGTTTTAAGTTGTTGTTAATAGAATTTTTTGAATTAACGAATGCATCAATTACTCTTTACTGTTAATTATGTATTTACATATTTACATTAGGAATAAAAGAAATGCTTTACTTTGACAGTAGCTTGGAAGTCTGTTCACAAACCGAAAACTATGTGTTCGGTAGAAAATTGTATTGATAACTCTTCGTTCAAAGGAGTATGTTCAGCGCTCCCAGGCATATGTAACCTGGGAGCGCTGAACATATTACCTTGAACTTAGGGCTATCGATAAAATTTTCTACCGAATATATTAAATGAGATTCTTCTCTTTTAATTTGTTTCAGTCTTTCAAATATGTCCTTCAAACGTATCACGTACTCTTGTATATTTTTAAAATGTTATGAACTAGACGATATAGGAAGTACTAGCAAAATAATGAAAATAAGTCATGTTAGACAGAAGTGGACTTTTAAATGCACCAAAATACATCATATTTCCATTACTCAGCTAAGTATCTCGAAAAGCAGGCTCACCTACTGGCTGAGTGAGCCACTATCACTAAACGTACGCTTGTTCTATTGTCCATTCTCCATTCTAGACTGAACGCTAATCCAACATCACCCAGCTACTTCACATTATCGCCTTTAATCTCATCGTTTTAAACATCATTCAGATGCAATAGTCATTTTGTTTTAAAATATTGTTTTTGAAGTGAATTTTTTGGAATATTACATACTGAGAATTCCATACTGTATCAAACATGGCAATTGGAATGAAGCCGTTATTATTACTACTAAAATATAAAATCCTTATAAACTTCAAACTGAAAACAATATACAGTGCTCATTAGTGACAGGTTCTGTGATTGATATTCCAAAGTCCCAAAGAACATTTGCGATCTGTGTTTTAACCAGTTGGAAGTGAAGCGGATGTCAGCTGAAGGCCTTGCTGAATAATCGCTTTATACCACAAACTGACAGAAGTAGGAAATAACACTAAACTGTAACCCAGTAACTGGTTGGTTAATGCATCAGCTGCTAAACTTGAAGGTCCTAGAAATGTTGTAGCTGTGTACTGCTGATGAGTCGTGTATTGGGACAATAACCTCAAAATAATATGTATATATATATATAATATGTATAAAATTGATATTAATGATGGATACTGGCTAGCAGTGGAATCCAGGACATGCGTCTCATCATTTATAGGACTCATCAGTTGGAGGTGTCTGCCTATCAGTGAGTAATGTCACAACTGAAACTGGATTACAGGGCCAATCGATTCAAACTTAAGAGCGTTACCACGAGGTCACTGGGTCACGATAGCCATTCCTCGTGCGACGGGCACAGTATAGTTTTGATGTTATAGCTTATAAATCCCCTACGCAGATTTGAAAGATATAACCATAAGGCTAATTTATATGTGTATATAGGCATTTTGTATTCTACTTCTTATTTATTTAACATTTTTTCGTGTCTAAACTTCAGGTTAATATATAAAACCAACCGAATAAGTTCACTGTAAATGATTTATCGAATGTCTCATTCCATCCTGAAAACACGACCAATTTACACATAACTTGTACAAAATTCCCTGAATATAAGTTAGCTTCACTCTAATTTTGCCTCTAATAAAAATGGAAACACTATATACTCTGAAGATAATTAATGCTAATCTGAATATATTTCTGATTAGCATTAAAGTGATCTACTATCTTTCCAATTTATAACAAGATATGTAACCAAACAATGGTGTTTTCGATTACAAGTCTCCATGCGTTACTTTCTGTGTGTGTGTGTGTGTGTTGGGAGCAACATAGTAACGTAAACGCTTATTCTGATAGACAGAGTTAGTCAGAAATCACATATAGAATGTATATGTAGATCAAAGCGCGTTTAAAATGAAATCACTCGAACGTTTCTCATTGAAGTCTGATCCAATCTTCATCAGGACAGTAATCAAAGTTGAATTCTAAAACGTCCACTTAGTTTTCTTGTCCAATCTTCCACTTGAAGTCGTTTAAAAAAACATAATTACTAAACATTCAGTGTTGTTGTATGATGTGTATACTGTTATTCATATTTTCCTTCGATGTAAACACGCTACATAAAAGGTCACAGGTGACATTGTATTTATTCGGTCATTTTACATCCAGGTAAAGTGTGTGTGGTATAGAGGGATGAATTAGTATTGATAAATGTTTCATTGATTTGTTGAAATCAAGGAGAAATGTACAGTATTAATAGTGGTGAGTCAAATCAGTCCAGATTGTGTTGCTGTCGGTACAAAGATAATAAAGTTGAAACTAGTGCTGAAGGTAAGCAGAAGAGTTACTCCTTCTGTTTACTAATTAGTAATGGCCAAGAAGCAGCTAACTGTACTCCATCTCATCTATTCTAACTGTTTGAAACTGCTGCTGTTGCTGGTTTTTCTTGATATGACCTAAACCATTCTATAGAATCTTGGTTGTGTGAAAGTTAATTTTCTGGCCGACTTCTGTTGAGTTTTCCTCTTTTATCCTCTTCCGTTATAATAAGAAGACTAGGCCTAGTGATCGAATCTTGAGCTACGGTTATTTTAGTGGTCAAAAGATGTGAAGACTGATACTCCAAGTATCTTTCTAAATGCGTTACTTTTCGAAAAATATTTATCTTTACTGGTCTGGAGTCTTTCCATCACACAGTTCATGAAACTTAATTTTAGAAATCAGATTCAAATTCCCTGGTGCAAGTAATACTCCTTCATTCAGTTATTTTTCTATGTGCGTCAAACCATGGAAAAGAACAGTAAAGTTGCGCAATACTTAAAGTTACTGGCTAGACAACATAAGAAGATGAACGTAGTAATAGTATGAAATAAGGAATTTGGTTTTAATTATAAATTTACTTTCTCAAACTACCTTCATCTATACTTCTCTAATTATTTTTCAAAAATGAATTTTCTTCTTAATTATTAGGATATGTAGACTGATTGTATCACTAGATATCCTGTAATCCTCATTATCTCCTGTAACGTGAATATTTTTATCATTCTAAAACTGAATTATCTGTCCTTATAATCACTGACCAACAGTTCACCCGGTATGCCTACGTCTTTATACGAATAAATGTATATACAAGTTTAAGACTGGATCACCAGCTGGCTGTCACAACTCAGCTGCTAGATTGTCATGTTGGTTATTCAGAGGCTCCTAGTTCGAATCCTGCCACGATCCAGGTTTTCATTCCACCTTTAATCACTACCATGTATCAGGAATATCAGTCTGTTCAGTTGCAACTATCTTAGATAGTTCTATCAGCGATATATATATATATATATATAAAGCTATGTATAATAAAGGCTTCGAGATATATCTCCGAAGATTATTTTGTTCGCCTACAGATTTTGTTATGATTTTCACAGTGAGAACGTCTCCTTTTTTAATATTCACAAACGCTTGACTGAAATGTAGTCAGAAGTTTATTAAGTCATCTCTTTCATATTTTGATAGGGCATGCCAAGTTTCCCCCTAGTTTAAGCTTATTTTCTTCGGCCCAATCCATTGCCATTTGATGTCAGAGCTAAAAAGTCAGTTAATAATGTTAAGGTACTCGGATAATGTTTATTTACTTCATGTTAATAGGGAAAATTTAGTTTTCAGTTTGAATAATTTTCAGGGTGTAAATTCATATTCAACTAACTTCTGTTTTTAATTGGTAGGTACTGGAATCAACTTGTTTGCTTTTTTATGGTACAACCACTGTACAATTACCATTGAAATGATTACTGTTAATATTTATAAATGTATCATTGCTATAAACACAATAAACACCAAAGAAATCAGGTAAATTCAGAAATATTCGGCACAAGATACTAGATATAAGTAGTAAAAGTAAAATTAATATAAATATAGCTCTGTTTCTAATTATTGTTTTGTTAATTGTATGAACTTTTGATTTTGACAATGTAGATTCGTTTTTGCTCAATACTGTCAGTTCATTTTGTTGACTATGCTTTACCGAGAGCGTATCATCTATTATTTTTGTTTTGGAAATAAGAAATAAATTAAAAAAGAATAACGTAACTGTAGCAAAAGGAATAAATGTTCTTGCCATTTAATTCTAGTTTTGTAAGTGATGTTTTATGATCTAATTTCAACTAATTTTTGCTTGATAGCGTAAAGTAATAACGTTTGTAATCGAAGAGTTCTTAAATTGTTGCAGTAATTCAAAGTAGAATAAAGCTAACTTGGAGGACTATGTTCAGTAAGTTTATTTTCTAGTTGTTTATTCGAGAACCAACAGATGATTTATTGTACGATTACAGTAAGTGAAGAATGGTATTAATAATCTTAGCAGCCCCTTTAAAATAGTCACAATCTGGGACTTAGAGTTTAAATAAAAACTCAGCTGTCTACCCACCGACTTCAAATTTTTTCATAATAAACATTTCGGGGCAGTAATAAATTTTTTGAAAACATTGAAGAACGTATTCATCATATTATTATCAAAGTGAGCAGCGTTATTGTCCTTATCTTACGAGGAAACATGAATTCTATGAAATCCTTGAAATCTAGTCAGCACATTATAAATTTTCAAGAGAAAGCAGGTGTTCGTAAGTATAAATATAGGATTGTTTCATAAGACAATATAGAGAATTTCTTTCTGTAAAGATCTGAAAGATCCAGGGCTACTGTTAACATATAAATCCAGTAGTAGTTTTGTAAATAACAGGATTTTCTGTTTTTGAAAAACTGAGAGAATGAAAGATATTGTTCACGCTTTTAAAAGTGTGTATCGATGAATCATATTCATGATTTTGAACTTAGAAAACAATCAGGATCCAGCTAAACTATTCAGATTAGTTTACAGGATGAAATTCATGATTAAACTTTAGGTTACATTTATGAACATAAAACTATCACCCATGTACATGGAATTAAAGCTCATTCAGATAACAGGTTGTGTAACTTTGCCAGCTAGACTACTCTTGTCTGAATATCCAAACCAAGTGAAGATTTATTGGAATCAAAATAATTTGAACGTACAGTATATTGTATTCACAGTTGTTGGTAATTGTATTTCCTAATAGATGCAACAGAATTCTGTTTTCATTTGTGCTTAACTATTTAATACTAATAGGTATATCAGAGTAATCGCAAACCTGGAATTACACCAGATCAGATTTTAATAATTATTTAGTTAGGCTGAAAGGTGAAAATTTCAGTATGATCATTTTCAGGACCTATAGAAATTTTCAAGTCTTCACACCCTATCAGGGTAAAGGTTTGAACTTTTTAAGTTGAGAACAGATTCTAATGGTGGAAAAGATGAAAAAGATATCAAAGGATATAACGAAAATCCTTTAAATGAATTGTTACTCGGTTACTTTTGCTTATGAAAGAGATAAAAATCACATATGACTGGGAAAGTACTTCTGCATCATTTGCAACGACAACTCATCAAATAACAGTCACTCACAGCGTATGAAATCTGGAAGACAAAACTCTTCACGATTCATCACCGAATAGTGTTTATGATGTAAAATGGTTAGACTGTACGCAGTCCAGAATACATCAGTCAGACTTCTGGTAAAAGTTAGCTGGAAACAATAAATTCCGACAGACTATCTTCCCATCACCTAGAAATCCAGTACAATACAAGTCTTGAAAACAGTTCTCCATAGATCAACACCTGAAAATATCAAGCAACGAAGTTCATAACCGAATTACTACTATAACTGTAATTATGCGAACTACGCTCATTCACTGCATATATTTCTTGTCAAGTGTATATCCTCGAAATATCGAAAATGAAGGTAGAATTATTGCTTGGAAATGAGAATAGATAAGTCACTGAATTTTCACTTCTTTGTCTAGAAACTTTTCTGAAATTGCCTGGTTACCTAGAGATCTCTTCTGTTCTTCAACAAAAATAAGGCGATTTCATATGAGCCACGTTGGCTTAGTCTAAAGACCGAAACGTAATCAGATTTTCAGGCTTAAATCATTATCACCTACGCTTAGCATTTTGTGATGGTGAAAACAAATCAACGACAACTTACAGATAAGCGAGCTCAATTACTCACATACGATGCAGCAGGACTACTATTAGAAGGCTGTAATGTAGCCATTTCGATCTTGATTTCAGGTTTTACATCTAGCTCCCACACTGTTATGCAATTCATGCAGGGAACGACTGAGAATACTTGTGGCTCAAATGAGTAATCTTAGATTTACTGCAGCTTCCCGAGTGGATCACTTCCATCAAAAATCTTATATTATGTTTTTGAACAGCTACATTAACACTAAGTTAATTGTGGACCCATATTTGGCCCAACTTCGTAAAATCTGTGACTGCAATTCAGCAGAACTCATACCTTTTGTTTCAGGACCAAAAGGCAAGCAAAGGAGACTTGATATTAGATCAAATCTATAATCTTATTGCAAATGTCGTGGCTTCTTAATTCATCTACTTGGTTACACCTCATACCTTCCACTATCCCAGGTTTTCTCCTTTTTCATATACCCTATGGCATCTATAAAAGCTGATAATATTATCTAAATATATTGTTCCTCCTACTTTTTGATTCTTACTTTCAGTTACCAAGAGAAAGTATGCGAGTTTGGGTCAATGAACAACTATATTAGATCCTACACTGGCAACCTCAATCTATCTTTCTCCAAAGGAATTAACCTTGATTTCAGGAACAGCTAGAACAAAATACATTTTTCGAGGAGCACTTTTTATAGGGTGACTATTCAAAGGAACATCTCAGTACGCTGCAGAAGATAAAGCCTATAGTAGTGAAAAGATAAATAGTTACCAGAAAGCCTACTTTTATATCATTCAAAAATATGATTCACCTACCCTCTTCAACTTTCAAAATTCCTGTGGCGTAAAGTTCACCTAGGTTTTTAGTAGGTAATTCAGAAGAATCATTCTCAGCCTTGATTCTTTGAAGAGCCTGTATCAGAGCAAAAATTAGTAATTAAGAGAAATTTAGAGAGGATAGTTTAAAATAATTTGATCATCTGGACTAGTTTTCTTCACATGGTTAACAAGCATACGAATAATATGATTTATAAATCATTTTTTTCAACAGGTGATCCTTATCATAATTTCTACTCAATTGCAAATGAGGTTAGATTCAATACTGCGGAGAATTAAGACAACCTTTCGTGTAGCCTAACATTTTTATGCAAAAATCTACTATTTCTTTTGCTAGGAGAAATCTCACCACAGCAAAATAAAAGTATTTTAATGAATAGTACTGTAACAGTGTTAAGCTCAAAGTGATGTACTTAGCCATCTGAATTCAGTAACAAGTTGCAGTGATTCGATAAGCCATGCCCAAAAAACAAGCATGAATCCCTTTTGCCAAACTTGTACGTGCCATGCTTAAATTTATGCCATGTAAAAGCATTTCAAACTGTATTTTTCATGATAAACCAGAGACATATAAAATTGTTCATCTTCACTTTACGTACAGTGGTTAACCCTTATACATAATAGGCTAACATAGAAATATTAATGAAACATGCACTATAAACAGAACAACTCTAAAGGTCACCCTATCAACTACTGAAATAACCGACAAAGATCCCTAATTTTGTGAAAAATTTGTCCTTACAGCAGAAATAAAATCCAAATTAGTCATTTCAGTATTCACTAAGATAGCATTTAAAGTCATTCATAAAAAATTTCCACAAAATTGTATGACAGTGAGATCGGCTGTCTCTGTATGCACATTTCTGGATCGGTTTATAGACGTCTAAGAATTTTGGTTTAGTCCTTCAGTGTACCTATAGGCAAGGTTTATCTGTGAGCAAGTAAAGCCACATTCTTCGGAAAAATGAAACGTATGAAACTCAGTTTTTATATTTCAAACTTTACTGTTGAGATATTCAAGGCCATGAATGACTAGTTGTTAAATATCACTTAACACACTTCATAGATCAACGCGCAAGGCTCTGGACAAACACTGGTCATAATTTTTCAATCAAACCGTCTTATTCATCAACGCTTATTAATGGTCAACCTTGACTTCAATGGCTGAATGGCAATAAATATTTTCTATGTTAGCACTGAGTAATTCAGCTACCAGTTTCCAAGGCAATATTATTTTTATGACAACTTGCTCGGTTGTAGCTAGCAGAAGAATACAGGACGTGCGTCCCGCCCTACTTAAGACTAGTCAGATGGATGTACAAGCATCCCAGTGAGTGATATTGTTCCCACTGGAACTTGATACTTGTACCCATCGTTTCAAACTCCAAGGCGTTATCCAATATGCCACGGAGGCACACCAGAGAATTATAGGTATACCAATAAGTGATAAAATTACTTTTTCCTAAAGTTCGATAATACCCCTTACTATTGCGTGCCACCAACCTAGGAACCTACGTTTAAAGTTTTCCTTCAATTGCTGGTAAACATCTGACTGATATATAATTTTTTTTAAAGATTCTAGAAGTTAAAATTTATCGGAGTTGTCCCACTTTTTACCATTTAGGATTATATTTTAAAATGCGCTTTTCATAATGAAGACTATTAGCACAAAAGCAATAAAAATAAAGTATCTCCTTCAGCCATAGAAATGTTCACGCTAAATTATACCTAAGCATTCAAAACGCATTTTAGCCCAGTTACCGGGTAATGAAATCGTTTCAACGTAAACTGGTAGCCATATACGCCACTCTCCCTTAAGTAAATAATGTGAAGTGCTTATGAATCTCTAACTAGACGCAAATATATGTTTAATGCTACCAATATTTAACGGTTTTTCTATCCCATGTTTGCATGAAATAAAAATACTGTGAATATTCAAAACATTACACTGTTAAGTAATATGAAATCAACGTAGTAGGAAGGGGTTGTACAGAATACCTAAATTTTTCACCAATAGTCACAAGTGGCTTTTAGAAAATGAACTTTTTTCATTCATTCTGAATTTTTTGAATAACGACACCTGTAATGTAATAATAAAACGGGTACTTGACACTGTAATTGTGTCAAGTTCAAATGCGGAGGTGATCCTTAATGTCACATCTTTGCTATGTTTTGTTTATTTTATTTACTTGATTACATCAGTAATAATGTGATTCAGTATTAAATATTCAACTTTAGGTTAAAAACTACAAAACTCTTGTGGTAGAGTCATAGGATAAATAATATAACATACCAGCTTGATTTGTGTCGTCCAATTTAATTTAAAACAAATAACGCATAGTGTTGATACTTGTATTGTTGCTGCGCTTATTAAACCAATCCAAATTCCTGGTATCATCAAATAAAATAAGAAACAATAAAAAGTATATCAGTCTTCTGGAGATTGAATTAAAATTCGGTTAATCTCTAAAAATAAAAAAAATGGTTTTGAAATCGTTCTTATTTTCAAAAAATTTCAAACTGGTGTTTTCATTAAATTTCTTAAGTATTAGCGATCCATATGAAAAGACATTGCGTGGTAGATTCAAATTAACAAAAGTATGCAGAATACTACGTCACTAGTTGACTGAAGAGGTCAATTACATTTAAAACATATTCCACCTTTAATCGCTGAAGATTTATTTAAATTATGAAGTATATAAGGGTATAGTAGCTGTCTAATTGAGAGTAACAGATACCTTTCTGGATACTTGCTGAAATCGCCGATATGAAATGAAAGGATGACAAAATAGACATGAAAGTAAGGGAATTTCTGGAAATGCTAATAGCGTTTATTGGATAATGAGAGCGTAAAACCTTCTGTTCGGCATACAAATTTGACTGACAATAGTAACTTATGTCATGTCATACATGAGTGCCCAATAGTAAGACGTGAATGATGCGAAAAATATCCAACCCATTTGTATTGCAGTTTACTGTGTAATAGTTTACCCAAAGTATATCTGAGTATGGACTGATAAATCAGATGCACCACAAGTCAGGATTTTGATTTGTGGCGGCTTGAATGAAAAAATATTTAACGGTAACAATGGTAATCGTTCTTGCAGTTTTATTTTCAAAAAAACCAACTACTTCTGCTAAAATTTTTGAATTTCATGACTTTTATTTGATTCTATATCATTATTATTATTTATTAGTCCCTTGGGTTCCTAGTGGAACATAGGGCTTCAGTAGCACGTCTCCAGTGACCTCTGTTCTCTGAGATCTTTTGAACCTGGTCCCACGACAGCCTAGAAGCTCTCATTTCCTCCTCGCACGATCTCCTCCATGTCACCCTCGGACGTCCAACTCTTCGCTTCCCATGGGGATTCCACTCGAGGGCCTGATGCGTGATGTCCTCAGTCGGCCTTCTCAGTGTATGCCTAATCCAATCCATCTCCACTTCCTCCTGCATATTTGTTGCGTGATAGGTTCTTGGTTGGTTCGTTCCCAGAGTTCCTTGTTGCTTATACTTTCTGGCCATCTGATCTCCAGTACCGAGCGTAAGCAGTTATTGATGAATGTCTGTAGTTTATTGGAAATGCCTTTCGTGACGCGCCAAGTCTCTGAACCATATAGAAGCACTGACTTGACGTTGGTGTTGAAAATCTGTATCTTGTTCCGCATGCTGAGTGCAGAAGATCTCCACACTGGTTTCGCGCTAATGAACGCCTGTCTTGCTTTTCCGATTCTGACTTTGACATCCTCGTCTGTGCCTGTGCCCCCTGTAGTTGAAACAGTTTCCACCTAGATAAGTGAAGGAGGTTACTTCCTTTAAGTTTCTCTCATTGATGGTGACTGGATTTTGTTGTTGTTGTTGATGGTGGTGGTGCGGTATCTTCATCACTTCTGTCTTCTCTATATTCACTTGAAGTCCCGTCTTCGCTGCCTCTTCTGTCAACTTGTTAGTTTTTGCCTGCAGATCTTCAAGTTTATGTGACATTAGGCATAAGTCATCGGCGAAATCCAAGTCTTCTAGGTTCTTTTCCGCAGTCCAGCCAGTGTATCCCCCTCTTCTCGCTGCCTACTGTTTGCTGCATGATCCAGTCCACCACAATAAGGAATATCATAGGAGATAGTAGGCAACCTTGTTTCACTCCTGTCTTCACTTCAAAGGCATCACTGAGCTTCCCATTGTGGATTACTTGGCATGTGGCATCTTCATATAGTTGTTGAATGAGGCGGATAAAGGTTTGCGGTACTCCGTAGTATTGAAGCAGTTTCCAAATTACTTCTCGGTCGACGCTGTCAAAGGCCTTCTCAAAGTCGATGAATTTGAGGTGGAGAGTTGACTGCCATTCTATGCTCTGTTCTATGATGATACGAAGCGTTGCAATTTGGTCTGCACATGATTTGTACTTCCTGAAGCCTGCCTGTTCCGGTCGCAGTTTTGAATCGAGTGCGTCTTTAAGCCTCTCCAGGATGATGCGGCTTAATATTTTACTTGGGGTGGATAGGAGAGTGATTCCGCGCCAGTTCTTGCAAGCACTGAGGTCTCCCTTCTTCGGCAGTTTGACAAGGTAACCCTTCTTCCAATCGTCAGGTACCTTCTCTTCCTTCCACACCTTCTGCAATAGTGGTGTGAGCATGTCCGCTGTTGTCTCTGCATCTGTTCTCAGTGCTTCTGGCGGTATTCCATCTGGTCCTGCTGCTTTCCCGCATTTCAGTAGCTTTATGGCGTTCAGGACTTCCATTTTCGTTGGGGATTTATGTCCACTTGTAATTCAGTGGCTGCAGGTGGTATTTGTGGATGAGTTGTTGGTGCTGGTGGTGGTCGATTCAAGAGCTTCTTGAAGTGGTCGGCCCATCGTTTCCTCTGTTTCTCTTCTTTTGTAATTAAATTTCCTTCTTCATCTTTTATTGGTTTCATCTGTGTTGGTCTCTTCCCTGATAGCAACCTGGTTATTTGATACAATGTCGTCAGGTCTCTCTTACCTGCAGCCTGTTCTGCTTCACTTGCCAGTGTTTCGTAGAAGTGTCTTTTGTCTTTCCGTGCACTCTTCTTCACTTCTTTGTCCGTGAAGTGTTTTATACATTGTGCTCAGTTCCTCTTGTCGTTGAGCATATTTGCACTGGTTTATCTCCTGCTTCACCATCCTCCTCTCCTCTATCAGCTTCCAGGTATCCGTCGAGATCCATTCCTTCCTTGTCTTCTTTCTTCTTCCTTCCTAATACTGTTGTGCAGGTTTCTTTCCACATCTCCTTCAAAGACTTCCAGTGTTCTTCCACACAGGTTTCTTCAAAGATGCTGCTCGATGTCTCCCATTTTGTCTTGATGGCTGCCGTGAAGATCTCCTTTGTAGTTTCATCCTTCAGTTTCCGAGTGTTGTACTTGAATTGAGGTCTATCACCAGCTTCCTTGAAGGCTTTTAACTTGATTTGGAAGGTTCCTTGCACTAGATGGTGAGTGGTCTGAACCTACATCTGCTCCTCTTCTTGACCTTGTGTTAAGTAGACTGCGTCTCCATTTTCTTCAGATTGAGATAAAGTCGATTTGATTTTTAGTGTGTCCTGGTGTCTGGTGAAATCCATGTCGCTTTGTGGATATCTTTGTGCCTGAACACACTGCCTCCAATCACCAAATCGCTGAATGCAAACAATTCTCCATTCTCATTCATTTCACCTAGCGCCTCTCGACCAATGGTTAGTTCTCCTCCTGTGTTGTCCCCTCCCAGTTCGGCATTCATGTCACTTCACCCATTAGAATTTTGAGATCGCCAACTGCAGTGTGGTCTTGTCCAGTGTTGATTGAAGTTGTCTGTAGAATTCCTCCTTTTTCTCTCGCTCTGCATTATTTGTAGGTGCATAACATTGTATGATTGTGACCTTTCTTCCTTTTGAGTTGAATCTTGCTGTCATGATCATGATCGTTGAGGAGATTGGTTCCCACTGCATGAGAGCCTTCGATGCTCTTGAGGACATCATGATAGCCACTCCATAACTCAGTGTTCTCGTGGTTGGCGTCTGGGTGACAATATCGGAGTAGATTATTGATTCTCCAGTTGACAGTTTGGAGAGTCCACTCTCATTCCATCTGCTTTCAAAAATCCCAAGCACTTCGATGTGATACCTTCTCATCTCCTTTGCAGTCTGGGCTGCCTTACTGGGTTCAAACATCGTACGGACATTCCATGTCCCCACGTTTACTTTCGCTTTCATCGAGGGAGAGAAGACACATCGGCCAATTGGCTTCCCGAAGGCTTTCACCAACTGGCGTCATTTCGCCTCTCCGATTCCAGCGGGGAATAAGTTTGTTTTCATTTTTTATATTTTGTTTGTGCTTTGAAGTTTCTTTAGCGGTTAGATTTGTTTTACGGGTAGGGTTGCTAGCCGTATTCCCAACCTTCCCTCTTTACCCGGGCTTAGGACGGGCAAGTAACTAGTGAACTAGTTAACCAGGCGAGGTTGATTCTATATCATAGTATTGAGTAATCTATTTAAACGACACATGTTAAAGATGCATTAGTTCATAAAGACGTATCTGAGTGTACAACAATAACTTATCACGTATTCAAGGATTCTGAGGACATTTAGGTTAGTTTTATGACCAAAAACACTCATCTATCACTGAAAAATACAAAGATTTGCTCTGAGGTTCATAAACTAACTCTAGGCAAACCACTGAATGTTATTCAAAAAATCATTTGGTAAAGTTTATTTCAGGTAAGTAAGCAAAGGTAATGTAATGACATGAGACAGAAACAGCTTATAAACCTGTACCTAGCTAAGATATATCTGAAAGACTTCTTCCTCCAATATATGCAATCATGTGCACTCTTTGTGCAGTTATAAACTGCAACTTTAACATCCAAGTTTAGTAATGGTTCGGTTTCTCGGGACATTCAATTGCATCAATAAAACTACCAGACTAATGGATCCTGAAGGTGGAAAGACACCTTCTAAAAGGAAAATTACGACGTTTTAGTAATAATTCAAGACAGTTTTGTCAATAGATTACTCTGTAGGATAAAATAAACCGATAGATATTCTGCCTAGGTAGGGGAATTTAAACTTCCAACTGTAAACGTAATTGGATGCGCTATCTACCTCAAAATACATTCACGATCTTTGCCGTGTTGTGTTTTCTGAGTTGAGTGGTACAATTGTAAAGCTTTCATTGTCTTTCTTCACTAACTTTAATATGAAGTAAGTACTGATGACGTTATCCTTAATGACAATGAAAGCTAAGCAATTAAACCATCCAGCTCTGAGAACACAATACAGCCAAGATCATCCACCTCAACTATAAACATTCTCACTTCGATATTAATGATCCCTATAGTAATAATAATAAGGAATGCACTGCAAAGAATGGTAAGTAAACTTATTAGTACCAGCACTTACGCTTGCCAATATGTTTTAGTAGCGATACAGAAATTGTAGACAGGAAAGTTATTGGTTTGCTTACGTCGTTTATGGCTAATGGTCAATACATGAAGGACTAGGTTATGGAGTTAAAACTAAATGGTATGAAATATTTCATTTTCAATGACAAACTTTGAAGTCCTTTGATTTTTCACACCTATGAATTATTTAAACGTTATAGATATCTCACGCTTTGGCAGGGGTTACCGTGATGATTTTTTATACTCAACTCAAACATCAATGCTAAGGCTACACCTTAAATCTTGAATAAATAACGCTAGATTTAACGAAATTATGGCACAACAATATGAATTTACAAAAGCGTCTTTTAAAAACCAAGTGTAGAGCAATAAAACATGTAAATGAGCTTAATTATCTCTGATGAAGTAATACAAGAAGAGAAAATGAAGAGGAAGAAGAAACAATAGAGCAAAACAATAAGTTCAAAACCGGCTAGAAAAACGCATTATATATTACCTTAAATATGACACGAAAGCTGCAAAGAGAGTGATATATGATAATACTACTTATCTTTACTAAGCAGCACAAAATTTTAAAAAAATATTTCAGCGACAGGACAGAGAACAGAATTCATATCTGTATCAGGGAAAAAAAGAGGGTACATTAATGCAATAGTCATCAGATAAATTAATTCATTTTTTCAGGCATGTAAGACAGTTTAGAACGTACAACAGGGAGATTCACCTCGACGGTCAAGACGATTGGAACATATTGTCAGCAGTTATCCGGTTACTGATTGAACTGAATAAGACAGATCCATCTTACCACACTGTTAGAGGTATGTGGGAATTGATTTCCACCATGAACTGATATTGGCTAGACAACTATTGAATCAAACAGCTGTCCCGTCCTTCTATGGGGTTAGACAGTAGATGTCACCACTTCAGAGGGATTCGAAACCAGGACCGTTACTTCTCATAGTAAGCACGTTACTATTCAGTAACTGGGTGAGGATGTAGTAGTCCACATACTCACACTTCAGTAGATTTGCGATATACCGCGAACATTACTCAATGTCATCAGCGAGCGTTTATCTTTACATCCAACTTATTTGACTCGACGTGTTATGACTTCTCATTGGAACTTCGGAAAGTCTAATCTTATTACTTTGGATATAACAGAATGCACGTGAACCTCATAGAGGTGGTCACTCAGACATGAGAACAGTCAGTCGAAAAATCATGAATCGATTTCTACTAACCTAAAATTTTCAGAGAAAACGTTGTGGCTGAAACGACCAAAAGCTTTAGAAAAGTTCAGGCACAGGAAATCTATTTTACACCGATGATTAGTCATGCTACTCATTGTTTACAATATGTCTGTTTAACCTTACTATATACGTAATAATATGCCTTCACTTAGAGAAAGAGGATTCAAAAACTAGAAAGAATAACATTACTTTCTGAACAAAGCTTATTTTGACTAGTTTGCTTGACTTGTCTGTCAGGAGGAAGATAATCAGTTCATTAGACTTACTACTTCCATTTTATTTAGCGTATCTTCGTAAATGCCAGTTCAAACCTAACCCACAAAGCAAACTTTTTAGCACATAAATTATCAAATGAAAAGTGCAACAAATTAGGCAAATATTTGTATGATAACCTGGCTTACCCCTCAATCTGAGCTTAGCTAAATACACTAAACAAATTCCAAGTGGTGCAGCCAAAATATAAAGACAAACAATATTTACAACTGCACCGACATTTTGCAAGCCAGACCCTTTCAGGACACCGCTACAGACACCCTACAAGAAAAGAGTGACGAAAACATCAACAAAACATTTAGTGTTTTCACTAGATACTGAAGTGTTTTTCTTTACAAATAAGTATGGTTTAACATATTTAATAGCGAATATTTAATGTTATATGGTGTTGCATTTCTACTTTATCTCGACATGATTTTTATCTAGAGATGAACACCACTAGTTGAAAAAACCATCACAGAAATAATCAGACACATAACGCAATGCACCTATGATAGGTGCATAGGTGTTATTTTGAAAAGAAACAAGGTCCACAATCTGCTTTATAACTAAAATAGTATCATTTCATGTTACAAGAACTAGTTCGGTTTGTGAGCGAATTTGACAAAGGTGAATTATCGGAACACTGTATTCTGCTAACTGCTACTAACGAGCCTTCCAAAAACAAACAGAAAAACTGTGTCCTTCACAAGCGAATGAGTTAAAAGGGGCAATGTTTGCTGCTGATAATGGATGAAGGTTTCATTTTGTTTTAAAGTTACTGTTATTAAATTGAAGACATCGGATTACTTTCGTATGATGACGCATCTAAAAGGAAACAGGAACGTCTGAGGTGTAATACGATGTTGAAGAATCATTTTCACTCTCTGGTTTCAAATAATCCTGATGACGATATCGAATCAGGATGAAAACTTTCTTGAACGTCAGGAGTGTAGAAAAATGAACCAAACAGTTACTTTGGATGACTCCACGAAGTCAGTTTTATTTTCAAAAATATCAAGTCAACTATGCCATATACGTCGTATAAGAAGTGGAAATGGTGACTTAGTTACCCAGTGAGTAACTCTGTAGCTTTTGAAGCGATGGATTCTAGGATCAAGTCTGAATGTGAACGACGCCAGTCACTGAGAAGTGTGTACATCCTGTTGATGAGCTTCAAAAGGACGAAACATGCGTCACCAACTTTACTACCAACCGCTACCCATCATTATTATCAGAAAGACATTTCTTTCTCGAATAGAGTAGTTTTAACTTATTTCTGACTGTTTTGTGAAATGTCAGCGGTTTCTTTCCTGCGACAAGAATTTTACGAATACATTTGAATAAGTAATTCAGATTAATTATTAGAATAACAATCATCATGTAAAGTTTATCTATAATATATAAAATGCTAGAAAGATAAAATTCACTCAATTGTTTAAGGCATCAAAACTGAACTAGGCAAAGTATGATATTTATAAAAGCTGAACATTATCAGGATATTTGTAAACCACTGAAATACATATCATACTGTAAGTAGGATTTGAAGCAATCAAGTCAATCTGTTTGAATGGACAGTAAAATATTGGAACCCCCTTAGATCCTTTTATTAAACTTTCGTTCAACTCAATCAACGTATGAATTGACAAGGTATGTTTTGAGTAATATCCATTGTGTCCATATAAAGTAGCCAAAAATGAAAGTAAAATTGTTCGATAAAATACCAATGTTTTTTGTAAATTGAGCTCTACTTTGAAACCGGTGATGAGGATGTACAGCAATTGAAACTAAACTCCACTTAACAATTGTACAAAATCTTTATATCACAATATCATTGACGCAATTTTGTTTCAAAGTTATTAGTTAATTAGCTTGCTAGGAGATGTTTCATGTACCCAACAGGACTACAAGTGGCTATCTAAGTTTTTTTTTACTTCAAAATGATTCCCAATAGCATTAAAGCGCGTATCACTTGTCAATATACTTAATTGTTAGAAAATAATGCTGCGGTTATTGTATGGTAAAACTGATATAAATCTTTCCCGTATACTAATAGTTTTATTTGAAATTCACAAACCTTAAGTATATAACACTCATGCTTCTCCTCTTACAGATGTCTCTATCAACACACAGCACTACTGTATGAAGTCTCGATTTGCTTATCCCAGAGAAATAAAGAACAAAATGTATTCAGCTACCTTGTATGCATTCGTGCAGAAAGGGATTGAGCCATACCTATTTTTTGAGAGCTAATGATACTACCTAGCTGCCCAAACCTCGGTAAGTGGACCGGTGATAGAACTTATGACTCACTGGATGATAGTCATCTCCGTAAACTACTGAGCCATAGCTTTATTTTTTGTTTATCTGGAGATGTATGGCGGCGTTTGCTGACTAGTTTTGGATATAAAGATGGTAGAAAGTGAGGACTTTGAAATTTCGAAAATATCATTCGAATAAAGCACATTTAAGCAGAAACGTATGGCTGTGCAATATACAATGAACGCTACAGTAATGCAACAGAACACTAACCGCAGATAACAATATACGTTTATCAAGAATGACTGACAGCTATCTCCTTAAGCATAAGTGAATAATTTTAAATTTTGATACCACTTTCTTAGCTGACCTCAGTAAATTAAAATCTGATGACATATGAAAAAACACTTTAAATGAAGTTAAATCTGGTAAAGAAACGACTTACATTTGCCCCATCGACAATTTGGAAGACTGAAATAATTGGCATTAATTCAGCAACAAGTTCAATGACACCACTGAAATGAATAGAAGTTCAATAATCAAAATGCTAGAGTATTTTTAACAATAGGAAGCTAGCAAATAACACGAAGGGTTGGTCACTGTCTAGAACACTGAAGAAGTGAGTATATTGAAGAGAGTATACTCATCATTTTGAGGATGAAACTAACACTTCATTGTTTTAAATTCATATCACCTCAAACTGTTAGATAAGCAGCGGAGACACTGTGTACTTAACTCTTGGTTGACCTTCAGATGAGAATTTTTCAGCAATAAAACTGATATATTTTCAAATATTTCATTATTTAACTTTCTTTCAAAAAATATACACATATAGCACTAGTGCTTTCACCGATATAGGTGTTATTCATCGGCTAACTTACCGTTTGAGAAAGGAATTTTATCAGTATTTCACAATAACAATTTAGTTCTGAAGGTTGAATCTTACTGGATTACATAGTCGCATGAAACAAACAGTTCTCAAGCAGCCTTTTCAGTTCGTTATAGTCCCACAGTCTATATACAGTTTGCTAATTTACAAGTATTCATGCAAGCCTTTGTTCCATATTTTGTTGAACAGACAAAAGTTATATATTCTTAGTATTTTAAAATCATTACTACCACAACTTCGATTGGAACCTTATGCAAATACTAAAACTAGCAAGCCTGAAAACTTCTGCAGAATTCCTAGAAACATGTACTCTAATCAAGCGACAATCATGAGACATATTGACCCAGTAGACGAACTACTGAGAACAAATTAACCAGCTAGAAATCAACAAATCAAATCAGTAACCAGACATAAGATTTTCATCATAGGTCAGATTATAACAGCAGTTATAAACGTCAGCCTCTGATACAAATTAGGGAAAGGTCACACCTATCCACAAGCGCTATACTCTCAAGGTATGCAAATGTTCTTCATAAATATTCATGCGACTTAAAGATACTTCATGTTATTCTGAATTAAGTATTGATGAAGTCTTCCAGTCTGGTGAATAAACTCAGGAGAACACTGAACATTTACTATTGCCATCCTGAGCTACAAATCTCTACCGTGTATGATAACTGGATGGAGGCAATCAGGAAGAGGCCATGAACCTAGGTTTCTTGATCTTTTGCACTCATCAGCAAGGCGTCATTTCCAACATTGACAAAATTATGTCTCATCTGGGATTCAAACCCACCTCACTTAGAAGGCAGTCAGCGACATTACCACTGGGCTATTTATGCTGCGGTTGACCTCCTTTAGGACTGGGCCAGACACAGTGATTAGTCACTGGAGGGTTAATGACTTCATGGTGTGTATCCTTAAGTGCTGTTGACCATTTGTTGTTGACCACTTTGAAGAGTCTTTTGTCGCCATACTGGATAATGCGGGTTCGAACTTCAGAAGGGACGTCGATTCCGTCAAGGTTGTACACACGCCTTGCTGATAAGTGTCAACACTTCCTGCCGATTGCCTTTAATGAACTAACATCTATCTCGCTTCATCGTGATGGTGAGTAATTTAGCTGGTGAGCGAAATTGCAAAATGATGAATATCATTCCCATTCTATCAGCACTTAGCACTAGACAACATGTAGTTGGTTGCTCTCCAGTGACAAATCAGTGTACTGCCTCTACTATATCAACAATTATTTAATTTATGTGAATAAATCCGATACTTTACGATGACTTCTAGATTATATGTAACTATTCAACATTATCTCCTACATTTTGGTGAAAACTTAGGAATATTTTGTGTATTATTCATTATAATATCTTAAAATAACAAATAAGAGCCATTTTTACATTAGAAAATCGGTGTGATGAATATATATATATATATATATATATATATATATATATATATATATTCGATTTATGGAAATAATCATGATATGATAATTTTGAAAAGGTACACATGAAAATTATGCATCGGTTAATTTGATGTTACATTCAGTTAAGAACATAACCTGCCTTAGAAACTGAAAAAGAAAAAAACACCAATGAATCTAAATAAAATATGTAACTAACTTATCAAATGTAAAAATTTTTGGTAGATGCCATCTCAGAGCAATTAGTATTCCCAAATATGGAAGAGCCCAAGCGCCTGTAATTAAAACATAGTAAATATTTTTTAAATTTTTGATCAAAAAGAATTGACAGTAACTTCCAAAAGGTACAACTGAAACTTACCAACTAGTGTTATCGCTACACTGAACACCGAATGAGGACCTTTAGCAGATCCTGAACCAAGATATTGACCCACACGTATACCTGTTGCACTACCGACACCATGTGGAATCTGAAAAGCCAAATAAGTAACTCTATGAGAGACCTGAAAATTCATTTTGTTCATCTGAATACATCTTCTTAAAGTTAGTGTGACGAAAAGTATGCTACCCGACGTAGGTTGTTACACAGAAGAAAAATCTTTATTACTGAATTTTGTAACTGGATTTGAGGACTTCTAGTTCGTAAATGACGGTATAAAAATAGTCATGTTTAATTAAATCACGTTAAACACCATATTTCTATATATCCCATTATTTAAAGGGTTCACTAGTCCAAATTAAAATGAAAATCTTTGTGGGAGGAAGATTCATCATAGTGACTCAACGAATTCTAACCAAGTTCTTTACTGACTCATCTATGATATTCAAATATTAACGAGGTTTTAATGTTAGTGTTATTGCTTGTACGTTACTTAATGTTACTTTAAATATCAGATTAATCGACCATTTTCAAGTAACACAAATACAGCAGTTAAGAATTACAATTTGGGGTTAAAAAAAGATGTTTCTCACTAAAACGCAAAAATCTGCTGGGCATTCATATAGTTAGTAGTCACACTTTTCGCTGATACAAACATATCACTCATTTAAGATTTGTTTTGCATCTGTTTATTCGTTACAATGAACTTGAATGAGGTTTTAACTTGTGTCAATTTCCTACACTGAAAAGTTATTATCAGTACATTTAATAAGTATCCTACAGTTTTTAGTGAACTGTTTGAAAGCTACTGAGATTGTGATGGTGAATGAAAATGAAAATATTATCACTGAAATCTTTTTTCAGCCTCATAATTTTCTGTTTATTCTCGATAGTAAACTGTTGTTTAGAAACAGTTTCTGTTGAGGCTTACTCAGTGATGACTTTCTGCATTAAATATTTTGAAGCGAGACAAAAAATATTCAGTTACATTTTTCATTCTGTTTTCCAGGCGTATATTTTTCATTATGCTCTAAAGAAGAATGTTCCTTTAAGTAGTTAGTTTTAAGTTATATTTAACACAACGGTCAGAATTAAAACTCAGATTTCAGGTCTGAAGTAATCGGCTGTGCATTTTTCGTTATTATATATTTACATGATTTTTAAATCTACTTATTCAGTTTTGAATATATAATGCACTTGATTTTGGGATGATAGATAATATTTGTATCTTAGGTAGACTATCTAACCTCGCCTGGTTAACTAGTTCACTAGTTACTTGCCCGTCCTAAGCCCGGGTAAAGAGGGAAGGTTGGGCATAGGGCTAGCAACCCTACCCCGGAAAACAAATCTAACCGCTAAAGAAACTTCAAAGCACAAACAAAATATAAAAAATGAAAACAAACTTATTCCCCGCTGGAATCGGAGAGGCGAAATGACGCCAGTTGGTGAAAGACTTCGGGAAGCCAATTGGCCGATGTGTCTTCTCTCCCTCGATGAAAGCGAAAGTAAACGTGGGGACATGGAATGTCCGTACGATGTTTGAACCCAGTAAGGCAGCCCAGATGGCAAAGGAGGTGATAAGGTATCACATCGAAGTGCTTGGGATTTGCGAAAGCAGATGGAATGAGAGTGGACTCTCCAAATTGTCAACTGGAGAGGAGAATCAATAATCTACTCCGGTCACCCAGACGCCAACCACGAGCACACTGAGTATCGGAGTGGCTATCATGATGTCCTGAAGAGCATCGAAGGCTCTCATGCAGTGGGAACCAATCTCCTCCAGGATCATGACAGCAAGATTCAACTCAAAAGGAAGGAAGGAAGGTCACAATCATACAATGTTATGCACCTACAAGTAACGCAGATGAGGAGAAAAAGGAGGAATTCTACAGACAACTTCAATCAACACTGGACAAGACCACACTGCAGTTGGCGATCTCAAAATTCTAATGGGTGAAGTGACATGAATGCCAAACTGGGAGGGGACAACACGGGAAGAGAACTAACCATTGGTCGAGAGGCGCTAGGTGAAATGAACGAAGAAAGGAGACCTCAGTGTTTGCAAGAACTGGCGTGGAATCAAACTGCTGTCCACCCAAGTAAAATATTAAGACTTGGATTTCGCCGATGGCTTGTGCCTGATGTCACATAAACTTGAAGATCTACAGGCAAAACTAACAAGTTGATAGAAGAGGCAGCGAAGGAAGACGGGACTTCAGGTGAATATAGAGAAGACAGAAGTGATGAAGATACCGCACCACCACCATCAACAACAACAACAAACTCCAGTCACCATGAACGGGAGAAACTTAAAGGAAGTAACCTACTTCACCTATCTAGGAAGCACTGTTTCAACTACAGGTGGGACGGACGAGGACGTCAAAGTCAGAATCGGAAAAGCAAGACAGGCGTTCATTAGCCTGAAACCAGTGTGGAGATCTTCTGCACTCAGCATGCGGAACAAGATACGGATTTTCAACACCAACGTCAAGTCAGTGCTTCTATATGGTTCAGAGACTTGGCGCGTCACGAAAGGCATTTCCAATAAACTACAGACATTCATCAACAACTGCTTACACTCGCTACTGGAGATCAGATGGCCAGAAAGAATAAGCAACAAGGAACTCTGGGAACGAACCAACCAAGAACCTATCACGCAGCAAATATGCAGGAGGAAGTGGAGATGGATTGGCCATGCACTGAGAAGGCCGACTGAGGACATCACGCGTCAGGCCAGTTGCTCGAGTGGAATCCCCATGGGAAGCGACGAGTTGGACGTCCAAGGGTGACATGGAGGAGATCGTGTTAGGAGGAAATGAGAGCTTGTGGGCTGTCGTGGAACCAGGTTCAAAAGATCTCAGAGAACAGAGGTCACTGGAGACGTGCTACTGAAGCCCTATGTTCCACTAGGAACCCAAGGGATTAATAATAATAATAGGTAGACTATCTTGGTTTCGTTATGTTCTATGAGTTGGATCGTATAGTCCTGAAGCGTTCATTGTCTTTCTAGACGACATCATTGGCACTAACTTCGATATGAAATGAGCTATCCGAATTTCTCCATGATGATTCAATAGCTTGCTTACGCTAAGTTGTGTTTGATTGATGTTTTCTTTTGATGCATTCAAAGCATAGACTTCCATATGTGCTGTTTTTCTGCCTGATCTCTGACCTTTTAGTTGTTTACCAGTCTTCTTATTTTTTCGTAGATTAAACCTTTCTATACATACCTACTGATTGCCAACTGACTTAAATCCCAAGCTTTGCATAATGTGGTATCAAAAGAATTTGTTAGTTTTTGAGCAACACTAATTACGAATGACCTCAGCAGTCTTGTTGTGATATCCGGTATGTTTTTTACACAAGGTAGGATGACCTATTTTCTGATTTCCGTAAATGACTTTTTAGCTGATGATAAAATGGACAGACATCTGATAAACGTACATGAATGGCCATTCTTCTTTAGGACAGACATCAAGTAACTTTCTGCATTTCTTCCTGAAGCTATGGCTCTGCGGTATGTTTTTGCTGTTTTCAATAAACTCTGTATGCAGCTAATATTGTGCGTTATTAGGCCGTTACTATTGTAGTTGAGGAAGTATGCTGTTAGGCCAAGATTAGTGAGCTTCATAAGACTTGAACACTGGAGTGCTCAAGAAGATTTGTAAAATGACTAAGTGGGAAAGACGTAGCCTCCTTGGAAACTTGCAGTTGAATAGATGTGCATAACGCTGTGATGTCAGAGGACACTATTAATTGAAAGCTGTCTGTGTGAATGCCCTTTCCAAAAATTCTGTCAGTAGTTTGGTCGGATGCTTGCATGACTCTGTAAGGTATTTTAGCCCCCAAGAATGCTCTCTGTGTAAACTTTAGGCTGGTGTCCCTAGAAATGAGACTATTGATCTTAGAGTAGTGTCTTGTTTGTGTAGTTTTTGTCTGTCACAAACAGAGGAGGAAGAGAACTTCTTGATTTTATTCGCCAATGGTTTTCTTGCCATTTGTCCTCCTTCGACGAATTTGTTTAAGGTTCTGGTGATCTAGCCGTTCAACCTTTAGAAAGAATCAGTCTCAACTGGTAGACAAATATTTTTGTTTTTGAGCAAGTTCTTATACATTTTGATTCTGCCTTTCTTGTCCATGACCGAAGTGTTACGCTTGTCGTCTTCTAGAAGTATCACTATATTTTATATCATTTTTTAGCTCTGATAGGTCATTTAAGATTGAAGTAAATGCTGACTATGTCGTCTAAACTGACAATGAAAGTTTCATGATCAAACCATCTAGCACTTGTTTTTACTGGTTAGGCACTCTTGGTTTTTGTACAGTCTATGATTTGTATTTCCGTTGACATTAAAGATGTTCACAACTAAAGTGAGAGAAACCAAATTACAGTCACTTGAAATAGATTGTAATATGTGTCTTTAGGTATTTAAGAGATGGTGAAAGAATAAACTCACGATGAAATTGATACGTTTATTCAGCACTAACCAGTTAAAGGATTGTCTGATACCAACATGTAGTCAAGATCATCATTGATTCTAGATATTTACAATTAATGGACAGGAATCTCCATACCTAAGGTTGCCCCTAAGCAGCAATTCTAAGGAAGACGTATCTGTAATCATGAGGAAACTGGTGTTCCCCAGCTATCCAAACATGCATCCCTTAGTTATTCGAGTGGCAATCAACCCCCTCTCAAAATGAATATTATCCATTGAATGGTGGCTAGGTTATAATTGATTGCATGTTATTTAGTCAGAAGTAACAGCCAAATAATAACTATGATATAACTAAGTACTTATCGAAGGGGAAGACTTACTTTCATGGTTATATATATAATGCAAGTGCCTACGTCAGTATACATTTAAAAATTATAAAGCATAACTTAATGTTTACATTCCCAACTATCAGCATGTATGATAATGCACACTGTTCTAAGGTACAGTATAGGAGTACTTCGCTGGTGTTGACAAATATCTCATTCATATACAGTATTTATAAAGCCCAAATTATTGTTTTGACGACACGAAAAAACATCTGTCTCACACAACCGGGTATTCCAAATGCATCGAAATTATTAATTATTATTACCATCCAAAATTATTCACTCTTCATGGATGAGTACCAGTGTGAAAAGTATTATCAACCTGTGATCACGAGATGACTGTATTGTTGCCACAGGAATCTCCTCAGTGATGGAGTTCTACTACTCCACAAGAGATTGAGAACAAGATCATCAGTTTTCTTGGTATGCACGTTAATATCAGACTAACAGATTACAATCCAATCGTTCACATTTTGATGGACAGTTGAAAATGTAGACCTTTTAATTCCAGCCTCCTGGCTGAATGGTAAAGTGATTGTAAAGAGACCTGATTGTCCTGTGTCCGATTCTCGGGGATAAACAGATCTACACCTCTAAGAAGTCCTATACTAGGAAGAAACTGCTGTTCAGAGACTAGATTTCAAGTCAATGCAATGACCTGGGTTTTATTACATTTAAACGTACCAATGTATAACAGACGCTTCCAATAGTTATAACGATAGTTTGCGCAGCCAATTCACGTGCCCCCAAAGTTCCTGATAAAAGTTACAAAATATACCCATTAATTTCTATTCTGTCCAGTAGATAGATTTAAAAGCTAAAAGCATACACTAGGGAAAAGTACTTTATGTATAAATACAATGGCACTCTTTTCACACACAGGGAGTCAGCTTTTATCACACGAAATTATACCTTGATCTTAAATGATTTCGTCTATAACATTCGGAGGTGTTATACTGTCCAGGTAAAAGCCGTTCTGTTCGTTACTATAAAAGTAATAATATTACAAGTAGCTGTGAGAAAGACCGCAGTCAGTAAGATTCACATCTTGAAAAATAAATCATTGTAATTAAACCAGACAAAATGACATCATTGTTACTGAAATAATATGAATTGTATTTAAGATTTTGCGCATAATGGATGGTCGCTGCAGCTAGTTAGTAAAAAGATGATGCTTAACTAAAATATTAGGAAACACTGGGTGTTGAGTCCTTTGTACAAGTGACAGATGTGTTCCATCTATAGCACTAGCACAAAAATATCGAGTATCTTAGGATTTACACAACTAGCTGTAGAGAGATCTAAGGATGATAGTGAAAATGATACAAAGACTAAATTCCCGGATTACACAGAAATAATTGGTAAATTGTCAAGTATGACACTAGTTAGGTCACTGTAACCTGTTCTCAGTTTTTGTAAAATATAAGCAAGAATTTTTTGAAATCCAGCAGCAAACACATTAGGAATTTCTAAACGGTGGCTTTTACTGTCATATTTTGGGAATTGCTAAAAAATAAGATTAGCCAATGAAGTAAGTAATGTTGGACGGATAAAAATAATATACATGAAGTACTGCACCTAGTTTCACTGCTTTTTGGTACTCGTCAGCATGACATATCTGCAGTCTCGACGGAATTATTGTCTAGCCTTGGATGTCAAGAGTCAGTTACTAGTTTGCCACTTATTTAGGCTTCTTCGGTGTTGACATTCATTTGAAGGAGTTATGTATAACCCCAGGTGAATTTCACGTTCCATGATGGATATCGACTTGCCACCAGTGAATTCACCATTGTGGTATGCAGACCACAAGCGACTGCAATAAGTACACAATTAATTGATCACATGTTTTGTTATACTCTAATTGCTCAACAGGGATCAACCTTTATCAACCTAGTTTGCTATGTATACAGTTTTATACACTGAAGTGAATATCAGACTTTAGGTCAAGTAGTATGTAATACTGAAGCAAAAATGTTAACTCTTAGAAGTTCATAACTGTAAGCCACTCTCCACTTACACGTCTGTTAAAAGAAAGCTAAATTTCACTTAACTGTGGGGTAAATGTTCAGTTATACTCACCAGCAACAAAACCGCCAATCTCATAAATAGTCCATTCAAGGCTCACCATAATTAGACCAGGAATTGCTAGGCGAAACCATGTACTCCAGTCATCCCATATTTCCAATGTAGGTTCTAAGCAAACATAAAAAATATGCTAAGGTCTGATACTGTGACAGACTAAATAGTAACTAGCAGGTGGAATCATGTTTATATATATATATATATATATATATATATATATATATATATATATATATATATATATATATATATATATATACATATATATATATATATATCAGGGATATAAGCTTGAAGAAATTTTTCTGAATAACAGCTGTTCGTAATTTCATCTTAATTAATTCTATCATCGACCGAGTTATCTCCCACTATATATTAATCAACTAATAAAGTGTCACAACAGAGATACATGTCCATATAAAATGCATCGTCTAATAAATAACCCAATGATACTACTCCTGAAAATCTTAGTTGTTAGAAACCACTCAAGTTGATCTGTAGTATTTCGCCAGCCAGACCAGATGGCCATCTCGCTCGTTTTGGGCCGAGCCTACCAGCGGCGTACACCTATAAAATTTACTCACAGGGCCGAATTAGTTGTTCAGCAGTAGTATCTTTCGTTAGTTAATGACACTTTAGTGTCAGAAATCTCACCTCATGATCTTGGTTGATGAGGGACTTCCAGCAAAAACCATGTTGACACCACAGTTTAGCAGTTGAAAAATTACTCAGCTGTGAGAAATATTAACACTGACCGTGCAATTTGTAAATCATTTGCAATGTGGAAGATGTTTGTGATAACTTTCAAAATGTGCTAAGTGGACAATTTACATCAGTATTTGGTGCAATATTACAAAGTTATACAAACAAATACCAAAGCTATAACAATAACTATAACACCCTACTCACCAAAATCATGTTGATGAGGTGACAGAAAAAGTAAAGACGCCACTCTGTCAAGTATGAGTGATGCCCTGTGACTCAATAATATATTAGTTTACTTAATATATCCCACATTATTACAGTATTGTTTGCTGGATATAATTCAGAGTAGAACTGATTGGTAATAATCATTTACTATTAAAAGTTGGATAAATTTTGGTGTCATTTAATGGAGCTCATTTGTTACCTCTTACATTGAGGCAGAATTTCTAAAATTCTTGAAACGTGACAGGGTCTTGCTTAAGAAAGGATTCCACTGATAAGATGGTAATCCACTAACTCAATAAATTTATCTTGGTAACACCATTAATCATTTGCGGATCCCTTTTCAAAATAAAAGCACTAGCCATATCCCTAAGTAAGGAAAGTTGTGAAATGAAGTATAATTGCCAATGTTAAAGAAATAAGTTTATCAGCTTATGAATGAAAGTGAACGAGAAAATGTTCAAAGGAGTGACAAGCGTAGCGTCTGTAAGTGGAATGGGAAATCATGCAATTACATGAGGTGACTTATCTTTAACCACATACAGGCTTGATTTTCTAGAAACCAAACATATTTACACTCAGAACTATTGGATTTAATGGCTTTAGTCACAAAGAACATAACTGAGTAATATGGGTAAGATAATATGTGGTAGATCCGGACTATAATATTCTGATATTTTAACACGAGAAATCTAAATTTACAAAATGCTGGTGATTATTCTGCCTCTCATCTGCTGGATCATACAAAAAGATGTTTATTCTCACGAATTTAGAATAAGTTTGGTTAATGCACAGTAATGAACTCTAATAAAGCTTTTTAATCTATCCATTTACTGCATTCTGATAAATTTTACACTTAAAGACAATAAAGGTTTGTTTATGACGTGAGGAATTTTTAACTCAAGAGCCATTTGAATCGATTGGTTTGATCTTCCATAGCAGCATGACAAATGCATTACAAAGCTACAATATTTTCATAAATATGCACTCTTTGTCTTCAAATTCTTCAATGAAATTATAATTTCAAGGAAGTTACTTCGTCATTTGTTCGCTGCCGTAACGTCTCTGTCATTCTCTCACTTTTTTTAGTAGTTTAACTAGTGATATGTTTCATCACATTGTTTCTCCATGAATAGGGGAAAGGTCCCTAGGAGTAACTGAAGCAAAACAAACGTATAAGAACTCAAATATGTGAAACTTCTGTGTAAAGTTGATGGGCACATTAGTCTAGCGCTGATGGTAATTCGTAACTCCAAGACTCTTATACTGATGAGAAGAATAAACGTAAATAAGAGGTCAGCGAGTATTTTTGAGAGAAATCTATCCAGATAACACACACTTTTAATCCTAAAAGCCAATCTAAAACATTAACATGGGTTTTGTGCACACCGTAATCAGATGTTGATGCAATAATGCAGAAAGACTATCAAGAATTATTCAGCTCATTTTTAACATCATTTGACTTTTCTGAATGCTTTCATTACCTGTTTCGTGCTGATTATTAGACTAATAGTTGCAATCATTACATTTTATATTTTAAAAACATAGCCAATGACTGCAAAGACGAAATTACGAAACAATCGCTAAAGTCATAAACTGGGTGCAAAGATTATAGTTAAACTGAGCAAATAAAGGTTTTAGTCAAAAATATTGAACGTCAATAGGTTGTATCGGGATTAATCGTGAGCTAGAAAAGTGGGTTAATTTATGAGTAAGGACGTAAAACAGCAAGACTTGGGTCTATGACTTAATGATGACTCTTATAAGATATCGGAAACCAGATTTTGACCATTAGATTTATTTTTACTATACAGGTCTTCGTTACAAAAATATGCAAGAGGACTACGAACTAAAATATACTAGTGAATAACAAATAGTTAGTCTACTTACCACTTACCCAACTATGCTATCAAATGAGGCAAGAAAAGTATCATGTATGCTCAGTTTTAACAGATGACACTTACTGAAGTTCATATTTTTTGAAATACCCTTAAATTTGATGTAGACAATGAAGCATATCACTTCAAAAGCATATGCTGTTGCTTGAGATATCGGTGAACCACTAAAATTAGTATAAAAAACAAATAGGTGATCTGTACAACAAACACACTAAAAACATACTTGATAGTATAAAATTGTGTAAATAATTGTTTGAAGATACCGAAATGAAGATTATACTTGAGAATGCATGTAAATTTTCCTGGAAAAGAATACCTACATCTTGAAATAAAGTTCTAATTAGGACCACTGAACTATTAAATACGATAGGTATTTCGTTTATGCTTCATGTTTCCCAGTTGGATAGTGCTTTTTCAACTGAAATCAATCTACTAAATGAAGATGAAACGTGTCATGGGGTCAGACTAAATACATGCCTCACAATATTTGTTAATATAGCATCCACGAACTTGCTTTGCTGAAATCTTGACTTGAAAAATATTTACATGTGGGTCTTTAGGTCAAAACACTGACAAATTATTTATAATATCCTACATTCTTTGCTGTCAAGGACGTTTATAATATTGAGAAAAACTGAAAAATTTGAAGCACACATAGATTTTTCCTATTACATTAGCCTGTCAAGATTTGAAAACTTATGAAACCGTAGGAGATGAAACTTAGAGATGGAAGATATTTGTAGTTCAGGAGGATGATTTTGATGGTTTTGTGTTCTCTGAACTGCATGATCTAGTCAGGCAGCTTTCACTGTCATTCTAGACATCATCAGCACAGACTTCACAAAGAGGTAAACTATAGGGTTTTCTTCCCAACTTGTTTCGTAACTTGTCCTGATGGTCTTCTGTGTGATCAGTCGTTTCTGCCAAAGTCTTTTCTTCATCTCCATATTTATTTTGACTGGTTCTTCTGATGATGTGAACTTTGATCTTTTTGTTGTTTCTTATTGGTTGATAGGTTGGGTCAATGTCAGTATATCTGTTGATCACTGACTGGCCTGAATACCAAGCTCTCAAATATTATCTGACATTCTTTGTATTTCCTCTATCCACGATTTTCACATTTTCCCAATCAAATTCATGTCCGTATAGATTGATATGTGTGTACGAAGATATGTCACTACCCCTGACTGCTAGTTGGTGTTCACGTAGACGGATACGAACAGAGAGAGCAGTCTGTTAAATGTAGTGGTTTTGCAGTTTCTGTAGTTTATTTTGTGGATAATGTTTAGTTTGTCTTCCTTTGCCTGCATAACGGGGATTGAAGAGGTTTTGTGAGTTTGTTAGTTACAGTGATTCCAAAAGTCCTGAGTAATTCAGTTATGATCTCGGGAAAATTCTTCATATTAGACATAACAATTCCCTTGTTGGTTTCCTAGGTTGAGTTCGTAGTTGGCGACGAATTATGTAGACATCTTTTGATGAAGTTGCATGCAGATGGGACGGCTATTTGCTAAGTCTAAAAGTGAAGATGTTTCCATCTACAACTCTGACCCCTTTGAAGTCTAAAGGGATATCCTAATAAGTATTTTGTAAAAATTATTATACATCACCTTTCATACATGCATAGTGAACAGTTTACCTGACATCCATTTTCAATAGATAAATTAGTATATAATGCATTAGTGCATTGACACCATTGACCAGGATCATGATAAACAACGGAGCATAGACGCAGTTCTAGAAAACAAAAATTAAAGTGAGATAAATTTTGAAAGAGCAGTCGTCAATAGTAGCAAGTTAAAGATAACTTTAGCAGAAAGACGACATTCAGGAAGTAAAATGACGAAACATGCGAGCTTTCACCCATAGAAATTGCTATTTTTATAAATTACGAAAAACCACTTTTCAATACACCTGGGTATACATGTCGAGACCATTGTCGATTCTTCTTGGCTTCATACAATGAACAGTTGTAAGGTTAACGCAAAATCTATTGTTTCTACAACTCACAAGGTAACTGGGTACTCATAAATTATCTGGGACTATCTGCATTATGATATACCATAATTTGGTCTTTTCAGGTTGTGTGTCTTAAGACTGCAAGTTTTAATACTTTAATGTTGATTTCTATCGATGCGAGTGTGATAATCAATGTAAAGGAAATTAAAACTGCAGTCTACTTTTGGCAGCAAGATGTTCAGTCCAAAGTTTGTTCACTTTCCTGTTAAAAAAATACTTTCAGTCGTTATATCTAGGAATGACAGTGAACTTAAAAAATATAATGACAGTTCGCATAACCGTGTTATTGTATCAGTACATTAAAGATACATGTAGTCTTGATTTTTATCCAATCAGAATTATTCTTCATATTAACAGTCCGTAATTACAACAAAAACAGACTTATATTTGGCTTAGAAGCTGTCTACCTTCTTTGACTTTATTTCGTACAAAAACTGATATCAATATAAGCAGTTGAAAAAGTCCGTCACTATCTATCACAAATCACATTGTAGTGTTTTCCATATTAAAAAGTTTTTTTAATTTTCCTATTCTCCAGGCTCACCCGTACTACTGATATGTTAGTAAGTTTAATTGATATGTAAAGCATTTTCCCTTAAGCTTTCAATGCTTTCTCTTCGAAGTGTTCCTACTTGTGGGGTCCTAATAACAATTCTCTCTTGATATTGTAAAACAAGAACCAACTTATTACCAAGAATGTCTCTAGTATGCAAGTATTGACTGAGTAATGCGTTATTTGTTGATGAAGTTAATACTGGCGGTAGCTAGTTAAATCATATATTTCTCCTTCCTGTGCTTTACATGTATCTTTTCCTCAGAATATCGCCAGTCTCAGGATACAGATTCAAGCTCTTAACTGTAAGTTATTTGTAAAAAAGCAATTTGATGCCATTATGTGTGTATTGAAACCTATAAAAAATTGGACAAAGAAGTGAAGAAGAGTGAATGAGAAGACAAAAGACACTTCTACGACACACTGGCAAGAGAAGCAGAATAGGCTTCAGGTAAGAGAGACATAGACCTAACAACACTATATCAGATAACCAGGCTACTATCTGAGAAGAGATCAACTCAGAAGAAACCAACGAAAGATGGTGAAGGAGACTTAGTTACCAAATAGGAGAAATTATAGAGACGATGGGCTAAACACTTCAAAAAACTCTTGAACCAACCACCACCACTACCTGCAACTTGCTTAGAAGCACCAGAAGTAGCTCAGCCACAGAATTACCAGTGAACGCAAGCCTTACAGCAAAATCCGAAGTTACAAACGCCTTAAAGTGGCTGAAATCCGGGAAAGCAGAAAAACCAAATGGAATTCCGCCAGAAGCACTGTAAACTGATGCAGAGACAACAGCGGACATGCTCACACCACTACTGCAGAATGTTTGCAAGGAGGGAAGGAAAGGTACCTAGCGAGTGATTGGAAGAAGGGCTACCTTGCCAAACTTCCATAGAAGGGAGACCTAAGTCTTTGCAAGAAATGGCAAGGAATCATGCTCCACTGCCGTCCACACCAAGCAAAATATTATGCCGCATCATCCTAAAGAGACTAAAAAATGCTCTGCGTTTAAAATTACGACCGGAACAGACTGGCTTTAGTAAGAACAAATCATGCACGGATCAAATTGCAACGCAATGCTACGCATCATCATAGAACAAAGCATAGATCTGCTTTCTTTCCCTGCTCATTTGAGTCTTCTCGCTTCATTGGCTTCGAGAATTTCTTTTTATCTCACAAAACACGTGAGTTCTTGTTAATGTAGTCACACTTGTTCAATAATATTATCCTAAAAACTCTATCTTGGCAGACTATGATGAGATTCTTATTTTTAGTAAGTTCACCTAATTGATTACGAAGATTCTTTGACAGAGTATGTCAACTGAGGGGTTTACCGTTGAAGTGCTGGAGATATTAGTTTGAAGCAGTTGAAATGAAGTGATCCAGATCATCACTTAGTGCTGAAAAATAGATCTCTTGTTTGAGCAACTAAGTTTTCGAAATGGATTTTACTATCAAGTTTATGAATTTTTCAATTAAAACCATAGAATTTGGCCACAAGGGATAAGGCTTACACAACTTTCAAATGAACGGAGAAGAAACGTTTCAACAATAATCGATCTGAGATTCTTTCCTAGCTTCATATCAATATTTTCATTTCGTTTCTTAATGATCCTAGTAGTGTATTCTTCGAAATCATTTATTTTATCTCACGATAATTTAAATAGAACTCAGGATGTCTGTAATACGTTACATTTGAGTTCCGGTAGTCAGAAATGAACAGCATCGATGTGATTCAGACTATCTGGTTTCAAAGTACTTGGATTTTTAAAGATATGGTAATGCCGGTGGTTCTTTCAAAACGTTTTTGGGTACTGACGATTCTCAGTAGACTTCTTGAAGAAACAAATTTTTGCATTCACCCAGGCATCTGATGGAAGTCTTACAGTTCAGTGCATTTTATAAAAACTACTGAGACCGTCTCTTGTGATACTTAGTATCGGTTCACTTCCTCACAAATCTGTTGATCAACTCTGATCTCTGAACTTAAATTTGTTCAGAATACGTGACCATTTTAGTTATGTATTTACAAATGTACTGCTAAGAAAATAAGTCATCGAAAAGACAAATGTCTTCACTACAACCTCCTTTTGTTTTTCACTGATCATGTGTAGATTCTTCGTCAATTATAAATAAATTTGACGAATTATCAGAAAGTCAAATTTATTACCAGTTTTGCTATCTTAGATAGTCGTGGTTTAGCAGGCTTGTGTTGATACTGGGTGATGATTGAAGGTGAAACAGGAGTTTGGACCACGGCAAGATTCCAACCAGCAGTCAATGAGTTACCAGCCCGGTGCTGCGAGACTCGACTGATTACGAGATTTTTATTTTATTTCAATGACCAATGGTTTCGCCTAACTACCCTGCTAATTTATGACACAATACAATCTCTTGACTGTACTCATAGTGGCTGCCCAGTCAGAACACCTAATCCAAATTCAAATCTACTTGAATTAGAAAGGAGGAGCAACACACCGATTATCAGTTCGACTATCTAAGATACTGTTAATGACTGAAGTGAAACAAAATTATGGTAAGTAGTTGCTAGCGCACCGGGTTATAAACCCAATGGTCGCTGGTTCGAATCCTGTTATGGCTAGAATTTCCATTTCTCTTACAGTCGTCAATGAGTGCTAAATTTATTATTCATTTTTTGCTCTAGGTTTCACGTTGTTGAAGACTGTGCAAACAAGATATTTCACTAGAAGCGGATACATTTAAATGACTCAAATAATCATCAGAAAAGCTGAGGGGATTCAAGAAACTCAACTATATATTTTCTTCAGAAGCTCAAAAATGGGAATTTAATATCGACAAAATCATGATACTGAATACACACAGGAATCTACACTTCTACAGAACCAAACAACAATTTAGAAGCTTAATATGAAATAGCTTCGAAACTTGATACGACAATAACTGACCTCACTAAATCAATCGACTTGTCTCTCCATGAATCTTAATTTATGACCTAAACTCAGAAACATAAGAAACAAAATCTATGGTACAAATGACATCTGAATTAATTGGTCACTCTGTAGTGTAACTACCAGAGTCAATTGTCCTAGATGATGAAGGAACTAATACTGAGGATTTTACACATTGACGACACTTGTTCTTAACTGTAAGAACTTGCCTAAATTTTGTTTGAGGATTTCTTCAGAAAGTATGTAATAACCATTTTAGCTTTCTTTAAATATCAGTTACGGAGGTTAATCAATCACTTAAAACATAAATTTGAAAACACAACCTAAACGCAATATGTTCTCAAACTGAATACTTAAATACAGCAACTGGAGTTTAATTCAGTATCAGCGAAGCTGTTTGAATATGACTCTAAAGAGTGGAATCAATGACAGTGACCACAAAATGAACCTTCTATACGATGTGACTGGTGATCTTAAATATGGTCATAAGTGAATTTCATATCATATAATAGAATTACCCATTTGTGCTAGCTACAAAAGTTAGTGACAAGTAATGGAAAAGATTTTTAATGTAGAATAATAAGGATGATGGTTGGTGTTCACAGAGAACATTTGATCATCATCATTAATGATAAGTTTACCACCACAATCGATTATCTGCTCTCTTCTCCATCCGCTTCTTTCAAACTCATCAACTATCAGCCGATGCATTCATAAGAGTCTCGGGGTTATTTTATTCACAGAGATAAATTTAAACACTCCTATAAAACAATACAGTGGTGACGGTTAATATTGATAACGTATAACAAACAAATATTCAGTCACAGACCATATGATCATCGTAAAACATTTGGTTAAAATCTTAAACATACTTGTGTCTGTACAAACTTGATTAACAGTTGTCCTAATGCACCAAACTGAAACCAAGCTGATTATTTGTACATCATATGACTTACAAAAAGTGCCGGTATTAGATAGATCAGTAGGTCAGCAGTACCCCTATTCAATAAATAAAATTTATCAATGTTATTATTAGTAAGGCAGAAGATAATACTGGTCAAAACAAGATACCTTGAACTAGAGGCTTAAATAAAATTTCCCAAACTGACTAGACTGTTCGTTTGTGCTATAGGCATATGAAAGATAGGCTTATCAAAATCTTATTTTTATGTCGATGAATTTAACCAGAAGTTACTCAGTAGGGATCAGTAGAAGAAATTTCTGTGATACCAAAATGTTGAAAAAAAATGTTCTACTACAAAATGTTAGTAGTTTCGCTCAACCTATGTACTTGATAGATTACAGTCGTTGCTTAACAACCTAAATACTCACATCTAACTGATGAGAACGATTGATTAGTGCGGACCTCATTTAACTTCTAATGTTAACAAAAAGCGCATGACTGTCTTACTGTTCAAATTATTCCACATTGATTTAATCTATTCGGTATAGCACACAATGATACAGTACCAATAACTCAGTGGTGTTCTGAGCACTATAAGCCATATCAAAATAACAAATCTACCACTGTGACTAAACTATATAATCGTATTATGTCCAAAACCTTTTCGACAAGTTTGTGTAGTCAGTTTTGGAAAGCTTATACATAAGGTGAATGGGTCATTATGTCCTCTATATGAATTTATAGTTAAATAAACAAAAATTAAAGACTCACTTAGCAATAATTGGATTTTGTCCAAGTAACAGTAGGATTGGCTCAGCATTTAAATACAAGGCACAGGATGGAATACAACATAGTGAAATCAAAACAACAGCTAAAAATAAATCCATACAAATATCAAGAAAGCAATTAAACACTCAAAAAGCCATTCATAATGAAAATTTTATCATTAGGTATCTATCTTTAAAACGATGTAGTTGTCGTTTAGTACATATTTTAAAACTTTAAAGTAGAAAAAGATTACTGTTGAAAAATATTAATTACAACTGATGAAGTTTGGAAAACCAGTTAGTTCATACTAAGTTAATTATCATTCCTGATAACAGTTCATTAAAGCTTAACGTATAAGAAATAGATCTTTATCAAGAATAAACTATTACAGTAGGGTACAGTCCACTTGTTTAAGGTTCCCTCTATGTTTCGGTATGCATTTCAAAATAAATCTTAATATTTTATGATGTGATACTCTTTCAAAAATTTCAACAATGAAGTATAATCAGAATAGTTGTATTTCATGTAATATAAATAACTTGTTTTTGATAAGCTGAACAGAAATTATTGAGAAGTTTTATTCTTCAGGAAAAGTTTGGGAAAATTCCTCCTACCTTATTGAAATTCCTAGCCATATAACCAGAATAGATACGTCAAATACTTTCTTAGACGTTCTTCTCACAAGTAGAATACTTATGTGACAGGTTGTACCACTAACTAATGATTTACAGCCTTCATATTCAACTTTTCTTCAGGTTATTCATGCCTAAGTTAATTACTCGTAATCAAATAGGTTATCGTTTGAAGATTGACAAATCTTCAAAATTTTCTTCCCAAAAATTACACCAGCCAATTGAACTGCTAATATACTGCAACAGTTTGTCATTGATTTCATGTGTTTCTATTAATATACTTCTATTATAGTTCCTTCTTGTTTTACACTTTATCACATATGTGTCACACATTATTTCCACATATTAGAAAACTGAACGAACGGCTAAACATTTTCATACAATAAGCTTACCTCTGTATAGTTGAAGTACCATTTTATCTTTTGCTGTACTTCCATACGTCTAGTGGGATTTGAAAACACACAGGAAAAAATTAATAAAATGTCAACTTTACTAATATTTGAGGTGATAATAATAACAATAGTAACAATAAGTTTGCAGTAAAAAGTGATGACAAAAACTTGGCTGGTGCTTTTTAGTCTATTTATTGTTCATTGTGAAACCCCAGTACTTTGAAAACTTCAATGCAGTACTTAGGCAGTAACCAGAACACTTTATGTTTTTGTAACTCCCTTAACGACCAACAAAATGTGAAACGTAGTATTATTGAAGGTATAATTGACAGAAACCCTTATTGATGAACTTGAATCAGTACTGACAACTTAAGAACATAACCACATCTGTTACCATACAGATTTTGATGCATTTGAATGTACTAGTTTCATGAGTGCAAAGTTTTAACTTAAATAACTTGTTGGAAAGTTCTTTGAATTCAACACTGAATGACAGTTTTGAGTTTCCGAAAAAACATGAGTTTTCTTAAGATAAAAAATTGGCCTTGATAAGTAACTCCCTAAAACATGATTGTTTGGATCTGAAATCAGATGTAGTTTAGCCTATTTAACGTTCTTTTAGATTTGCAAAATCATATGAATATCCTGTTTGTTTTATCTTAGTTACTGGAATATTTTTCATCTCGTGCATCCAGCTAGTGGGTCCCAGTTTGAAAAAAGTACGCTTCCTGGATTCTGTGTCTAGCTAATATCTATCACTACTCTCACAATTAACTTTTAATTAAACCGGTGTTTGAAAATGTTTCAGTTAAATAAGTAGCAATTAAAAGTTTACAACGACCAAAAACTTCATTGAACACTGATGTCAATAAAGCAGTCTCTAAGGATGAGGCTTATATTTATGTTAATAGTATAGTTTTTTCTTCCCAATATCTAGAAAAAAGGTAGGCCACTGAAGAGTAACCAACTCCATGCTGTCTATTTCGTACTGCATACCGAATTCTGTGGATTACTTTTGACATTATGGTTACCAAGCTGAAATAATCATCACTGTCATGCACTTTGATTACTGTTGGAGAGTTGAAGGCGATCAGCAGAAGACCTGTCACCTGGCTTTCCTACTTATTGACACTCACCAACAAGGTATATACTCAGTCTGAAGGGCATTAGTTTCCCTCCAGAGATTCGACTTCACATCAACCAGTGCTGTAATCATTAATGTCAGAAATAAGCTATTTGAAAATGTAGCGAGTGAACCAGGCTGGAATCTCTGTGGGGACATCAGTTCTACTAAAGTGACAGCTATGCTGGGCGTTAAATACCTTTTTCATGTTTTTAATATATAGTTTATGCTTTCAAAATTGATAACTGTCACACATATATACTGTACTCTCTGAAATGTCTGCAAGAAACATCAACAAATTTTAGAAATATCATAGATGTAACTTCCTCACTGACTTAAACTAATGGCAACTTTCTGAACAAAAAAGCATGGCAGAACATTCGGTGCCATCACCGAACTGCTGTACACGCAGAGATGACAAACCCTGGTTCAAAACGAGGCCCCACTATCCAGAATGGATGAGTGGTGTATTATCTTAGTCACAAGTAAATAAGGGAATTCAGGACTTCAAGTTGCTGCTTTGTGAACCAGAAGTCAAGTCAGAGGCTCTAGGAGTGGTCCCTTGGGAGAACCACCTTCTCCGGTGTGCATGTCCAGGCAACATCACAACTTATTTACAAACCATGACTTGGAATTAACAATAAAATACACAAGGCGCTAACCACATCCTCCTCTGGTTAACCTCCTAAGCAATTATTCGATTTATAATGTCATCATTTTTACACCTAAACTGTATTGTCTATCTGTTACCATTTTCAAAGTAACTTCATGTGTGTCTTTGTTTCGTCCAGCTGCTGGTCATGGACCGAAATTCTTGTACATCCATATCGTCTTGAGTTCTCAAATAGTTTTTTTCGGAAGGCCATCCTTCAGTGAGATATCAAATACAACCAATTAGAAATCACTCTCACCATCGAAAATTACTACTTTCATGTAGATCAGATAGGCTTCTCAAGGACTTAGGAAAGCGTTACCAACTGCCAAATGTCGTATTTCAGAGACCCATATACAAGATCTTAGTGAAGTGCTTCGAATAGCTTCCCTATGAATCAGCTCGAAAAGTGAATTCACAGTGTCTCTTGCGGAGCCAGGAACTGACCTTGCTGGTAGAACTTTACTGGGTGATTGCATCTCTATCAACAGTCATCTGTGTACTTCTAGGCCGCTAGGCAAAAAAAGGGTATCTTTGTCATCTCTGCGTGCGCACCAACTAACTGCAACCCGTTTACAGTTAAAGATGAGTTCTAATACTAAATGAGTGGCCTCCATCATCTGCTTTTGATAGGTATAGTTGTGCTGGCTGAGAGCTTGAATCCACAGACTACATGTCTAGGCCCAGAATGTGCCCTGCAGATTTTAACACTAGCACCAACTTTAGGAGTAATCATTGCCACTTGGCTACATGGTGTCCTTCCTCTACCACTCAGGCTAGGATTCAAACAGATCACATTACAGCCCGTTAAGATAGTGTGGGTGTATGTAGGACTGCCGCTCTTTCTTAATCATGTGCCTGAACCCTAATCATGTTTGATTATGTATCAAGTTGGTCTTGAATTTAAGTGGTCTTCAAAGTTGACCTCAGCGAAATGGTTCCACATAGTGTTGCAACTTAATGAGAAGTCTATTTAGATTCTAAACTAGCTATCAAACCTCCAGAAAGTCTAGATCAGCATTGGCTGCACTTACAAGACGCTGTTAAAATGCTGAATTAATCTGCTTGTAGTTTTGAAGAACGTCCAGCTAAGAAACACTGGGCTTTTGTAAGCTCATTATAACTTTTGGCGCTCTTTGGTGTATTCCAACAGGAAACAAGTACAGCAGTATACATAAGTCATTTACGCGAAAGACCAACCAAACAGTATCTACAATGGATCGCAAGGTCTGGTGGTCACAACGCACAAGTGAAATGAAAGCATCACGACCACATCTGGCAACAGTCAAGAGATGTTTCAGATCATCCAAACCACTGGCAACAAAAGGTCTGGAGCGAATGAGATGGTTTAAGCAGTAGCCGGCACACCGACCATCAACCTTCACAAACTCCTGGAGGTCTGGGCAAGACACTTTCACAGGTAGTTCAGCTGGCCTACAGTTTCAGTAACATCGGCCCCAATGTTTTTTTTCACTGTGGTCACCTAACACTAACTGACTAATTGGAGTTATGATAAACTCCAAGTTCTAAAGCGCCACATGGTTACCAGCGTAGACAACCAACCCCTGGAAGTGAGACTGTAGACACAGTAATGACTACAAGCATGAGGAGTTATGACACAATTCATGTTTCATCTCTCTAAAATGAAGCCATTGTTGTACCTACCTTTGAAAATCGTTTGCCCAAAGCTTATAATAATAATCAGGATATCAGTCTACTACCAGTTAAGTTTACAATGTGTCTCCGCTTTAAACTCTGTTTTCTAACCAACACAATGGTGATATTTAAATTAATGAGTCCAATGTGTTGGGTTCTGCTATGCTTTGCAGACGCTACTTAGTGTTTATGCAAGATGAATAAGAGCCTCTACCTGCGCTAACCCTAAGTGGCGAATTATTGGAAGTTTTCGAAAAGTTTGTGTACCTGTGTACCAGTGTCTGTATGACTGCTGAGATTTCCAACCACATAGAGAAAGCAACAGCGGTATTCCCCACCTAGTTGATCTTCGGGGCCGTCGTAATACTAACCTTATTGTAATGGGTTGTATATGCAACGCATCAGAGTGGAAAGTTCTGCTCTGCACTTGTGAAATATGGCCTTCATGAGCTAAGGATCTTTGACGACTGCGTTTCCAAACACCGTTTTCTCTACAGGACTGGTCGCATTCGGTGGAAACACCATATGAACAATTATGAAAAGATTTGATTTGTTGAAGATCACCATTCAATGGATAATTCCATCTTGAAATACTGGTTTCTGTGGCGTGGAAAATAATTACACGTATAATCCCAGAGGCTTCCACACTACTCACTTTCCACCTGCTCTAGAGCTGGTTGGAAGAAACAGAAAGGCAGCTAGTGTTTGACTTGAAACCGTAGGATGAAGGATAGTTGTGTTGAATTAGTATCTGTAAGTGCTTCAATGCTCCTTGATGATACAGCTCAATAACTTATGACGACAGCAAACTTAGCTCAGAATCAAATCAAATGACAGTTTTGCTCCTGTTTTCTCGCATCTTCTATTATTATGAAATAAGAAGAAAACATTGAATTTTTTCTGGTATGTAAGCTTGAAGCTGATTCTCTGATAAACTATTGATCGTTCTGATGTCATTTTCCCTTTCAGTTTTTCATGTTTTGTTAATGATAGCTTTTTAATTTGCATGGTGCACCCCCTGATGCTCATTTTGCATCAAATGTGTACTGTAAATAAGTAATGAAGTAACATAGAGAAGTTCTCAGCGATTCTAATAGCTAATAATTAAAGGTGGTTTTCAAGTAAGATAACCTCATTGCGTAATTTAAGAATTGACCTGGGACTAGTGTTTGTATAGCATTTTTTGTTTAGCATATTATTATTATTATACCATAATTATGTTAGCGCCACTCACGAACAGCAGTTACACTAATTAACATATCAGTAATGATTGGATTAAGACACAATCGCCATGAAGTGGCAGATGCTTACTAGCCAGAAAATAAAAACAAGAATAATAATAATAAGTTGTCGTATAGATATTTATACATCTTATTGTTGAGTCCAAGGTTTAACCTTCTAAAAGATGCATTAAATGAGTGACTTTAAAGGACACAATAGCAAAAATAATTATAATTGGTTATCTCAACAGTTGTTAGGGTAATCATTAGAGTCACTCTATAAAATTTACCTTCAAAATAAAAATTCACAATAAAATACAGAGGGAAATAACCCCTACATTTTACCTGAGAAAATAACGTATCACATGCTGTGAGCAATCCAAGAATAACAAACATACCACAAACACTAAATACTGACATGGCCAAACCCATTGTGGCTAGTTGAAATTTGCCTAAGTGACCACAGAATGCCATACTGACAGGTGCAATTGTGTACGTGAACACTGAAGAAATAGACTGAATTACACAAGAATGGATTGATAATATATAGGTTTACAAATCTTTTTAATAAATATATTTTGAAAAATAAAATAAAATGTACATAATGACACACATATAATAACTAAGTAATCTGTAGGATGATGTTTACCTTGCATAAGATAAGCAACACTTCTTTTTAATGTATTTCGGCATTATTTTATAGGTCACAAGTGAATAAAGCCTCAATCTTCGCAAACTATGTAAAAGCTTATTCAACAAGCTCTGAATTGGGTTAAATCAATTTATAGATGGTGTTCAACCTTGGTAATTCATTTCGTTAATTGAACCAGTGACTGATCAACTTTGACATATGAGTTCCTGTGTGGACGCTTCAGTATTGCCTCTTAGGATGATTCTTATCTTAATGACGTACAGTGACTTGCTTCGAGTCCTACTGAAAACAATTTCACTCACTGCTAGGCAAGTGCGTCTAGCTGATGAGATTTAAATGGCTTGACACCTGATCCCAGAACTCCAACGCTGTTTACTATCCATGACGTGGTGGCAAAAACCAACAAGTTGACAGAAGAGGCAACGAAGACAGGCCTTCAAGCAAATGTAGAGTAGACGGTGATGAAGATACCCAACCAACAATAACAAGCACCAATCATCATGAACGACAGAAACCTGAAGGAAATTGTCTCTTTCACCTACCTACCTACCTACACACCTACCTACCTAATTACCTACCTACCTACCTAGGCAACATCGTTTCAACTACAGGCGGCACAGGCACAGATGAAGACGTCAAAGCCAACCAGGACCGGAAACACAGTAAATCAGGTCTTCATTAGCCTAAAGTCAGTGTGGAGATCTACTTCACTGCACTGCACTCTGCATAAAGAGTACACAACATCCGGATTTTCAACACTAAGTCAGTCAACTCGGTCAATGCTTCTATGTGATGGTTGAGAGACTTGACGCGTTACAAAGAGCATTTCCAACAAACTGCAAACATAAATACATGAACAGCTGCCGCCCACGCTCACTCGATACTCGAGATCAGATAAGATCAGATGACCAGAACAACAAGAATAAGCAAGAAGGAACTCTGGCCTGGAGACGAACCAACTAGAAATCCATCACCCAACAAAAATGCAGAAGAAGAGAGTGGAGGTGGATTCGATTGGACTGGGCATACACTGAGAAGACCGGTTGAGGATATCACGCACCAGGCTAGAGCAGGGCGTCGATTGGAACCCGCATGGAAAACGATGAGTTGGGTATTTGAGCCAAGGGTGCCATGAAGGAGATGGTGTGAGGAAGAAATGAAAGCTTGTGGGCAGTTGTGGAGTCAAGTTGAGGAGACTGCAGAGAAGAGAGTGCAATGGAGACGTGCTACTGAAGCTCTACGTTCCACTAGGAACCCAAAGAATAAGTAATAATAAACACAATTCATTTCAAACTATCTATTAAAAATAGACTGACGGCTTTAATACGTTCCTCCAACACATGTTATAGACCTTTTATATGGTGTGAACTGTAAATTGTTGATATGCTAACCTACGGAGTTAACGGCGCCTGTGAACGTATAAGAGCTATGTGGGCTAGGAACGTTGACAGGGTTTAGATGTTCGTTTATGGTCTCTTGATGTATGTATTGATTCAGGTAAATGGTTGTTATTAATTGTGAGTAAGAAATATGGGTATGTAATCATACCCTTACTGTAGGTAATAGCCACTTTGTCTAGATCTCTACCACTATAGGTTTTCCATAACTTTTCTAGCTTCTGTCTTTGTAGGTAGTATGTTTTATGCTGAAAATAAACATACCAGTGGCATACAAATAACAATAAATATTAATTCTTAATTGTTTGTGTTTTTTCACAGTAGTATGTGACGTCATCAACACTAACTTCTGTTTTTACTTAGTGCTTGTTATTTTACCCAGTTTTCCGATGGAGTGTGTAAGATCAAATATCAGAGCTCAAAGGACACTGAACAATTATACTCTTATCTCGGGTTATTTACTTCTATGTACAGCAAGATATTTTATTCAAAGTGTTAGTAATTGTTCGAGTATATTGTTATCATTGCAAAAATTGAATTAACAATTTGTTTTTATCAAATTGAAATTTTAGTTCTATGAACCACTGCGTGAGAAACTATATTTTATTTTACTTACAATTGGTATTGCGAGACGAAGTAAAGCTTTCAACTCAAATAGAAATCCCAATGGATAAGCTTTCTTTACTAATCTTTGATACCAGTTAAGGTCACGTAATTCTTCCTCATTATCTGTATTGTGATGAAAAACATAACACAATAAGATAAATTTAGATAACATACTAAATAAAAATCACTAAATGAAAGAAAATCATAGAATTGTTTAGCATATGAGCACTGGTATGGACTTTAACGTAGATATCAGTGATATGAAAACTGTAGGTAAACTTTTTCATTAATCGGGTCATAAATGACGAGCCGTTTTTCGATAATAACTTATTTTAGAAATGAAAATTTCAAATTACATAATGCCAGCTGATCATTATATAAAAACATTTAAATTAACTAGTCATCTAATTGTTTCTGTTTGCACAAAATATTAAGAGTAGTACAGTGTTGTACTATTGAATGTTTTGCGACAAATTACTATTATACTAAAGTCTATGATTAAAAATTATAAAACCTATGGCATATAAGTTAAATAAAATTCAACAGTTTAATTGTTTGATTAGTTACTGACATTAATGGCCTAGTAGATAACTCTTTGGCATTGAGTACAGAATTTGAGTCTCAATGGCAACGCCATCACTGACTGGGATGCCAGTACATCCATTTGGTGAGCACCAGATAGGAAGAAACATACATCCTGGATTCCAGTGCTAACCACCACCCAGTGAATTATTGCAATTCTCTACTTGTTTTGTTATAATATTTGGAAATAGTTTTTTGTCATCCACTTTCAATTGGTTGTAATGCGTCCATCCTTCACTGGATATCAATGAAAAGAAACTGACCTCTAAGACAATCAATCATTATCACTCTTTTATTGACGTTCATCTACTATGATTATTCATTGATGACAGTCAGATGTGACTATAAAGATCACCCTAGTAACCGTTAAAATAACCAATGAGATCTCAGTCTTTTGGCTGGAAAGTTTTTTTTTCATAAACCAAAGAACTGTAATTGGTGATTTCATCAGTTGTTATGGTGGCCTTTAGAGTCACTCTACAATTAGTAGTACATTCTCAAGTAATCTAAGTAATTGATAAGTTGACTAACTAGATGTGAACCTAATGTAAAGCTCGAGAAAATCAAATTGTTTAAAACTTATCAAACTTTTTCCTTTATGTGTTAAAAGTATCCAAGTTAAGCAAGTCCCCTAGCTGATTTTATTCCAGAACAAAAAAGATAGGTAAAGATTAGATCAATACATTCCCATCTTGTCAATCTAAAGCTCTGATCACCTAATACTATAAACCAAGAGCTTAGAGAGTTCTTCAACCTCAATTTTACGTTATATAAAAGTTTGTAGGTCTTGTCACTAACTTCAGCAAATGAATATCAAATCGTATCTTAATCACATATTTCCACATAATGACTAATCAAAATTTAATTAATCTACTTCTCATTAGTGACTGGCTTCTAGAGGTAATTCCAATGTGCATTCGTGACCGATGGGGTAAACCAAGTAGAATACGAGGACAGTTACTCAACGATAGCATTGAATGGAGATTACTCTATATCGTGAACTGACAGAAGTAGGGAAAGTGAACCACTGGATTCTGACCCAGTGGCTTAGTGGTAATGTCCTAGCTGCGGAACCTGAAAGTTCTAATATCCATCCCCGGCGGGACCGCGTTATGGGTGCGCACTGCTTGGGTCCCATACTATAATGAAATAGCTATTCAGTGTTTTCATATTTCCAGTGTTTCTCCAAATGATGTCATTTCATGACCACCAACCTGAAAATAATGATTCTTATTCACTTCTCTTTAAACCTTCAAGATACAGATCTTTAGACTCGTATGTCTTTCTTCTCTTTAGCTTTCCCATAATCTTCACAACTTCTACAACAGCAGGAATTCCTATCTGTGTCAAGTTTCATGAAATTCAAATGAGTATATGATAGTCATGTTACTTCACTTCTAGCTTTTTTTAAAATAACCAATAACAACCTATCACATGTATACATGCAGACAAAGCAAGAGAAATAGGAGCACGGAACCAACTTACCTTTCAGTGTTTTGTCTTTTTTGAAGAGATCTATTAGATATTTACAATATTTTTGTTTCTTCATAGCCAAAGGTCAAGTACACTCAACAATCAACCTGCAGTAGGCGTCACTTCCACTTAAACATTTTAGCACTTATATACCAAAAGTTGTGTGTATGTCCACTTACAGTCACAGGTTTCAAAGTAGAAAATATAGTAACTCCCTTTTTTAAAATGTTTAAAAAATGTTTTTTTTTCTCCATTTCACTAGTACACTTGAGAAAATGTAAATAATATTTAAATTGTAAGGGCCAATGAATAGCGAAATCATGACATGCCTTCAGCCTAACAGACGTCTATTCAAATCTCATTTGAAAAGTACTGAATTTATGATGTAACGAGTGTTTTCATTGTTAACAGATATTTCAAAGTTTACAGACAAAAGTTTTCTTTAAGAAACATCAAATGAAAAAAAGTGAAAGTTTAACATATTACCATGGATAAAAGCCTTTAAAAATTTTCTCATAAATTGTATGGAGTCCTTAAGTGAATCCTAAAGACAATTACAAAAATTGTGCTGTTTGACCACAAAATGTTCATGTAAACATTGCTGAAGACTAGATGCTTGGAACCAGGGTATCTTTTGTTGCATAGTCTGGATTGAAACTTACAAAAAACCCACTGATAAATGTTTTGTATTGCTAGGTACAATATTTTAAGACACTCAATAGGTATGAGAGTAGATACGTAAATCAAGAATAACTTCAATTTACAAAAAATGTGCACATTTTTCTTTAGAATATTAACACAAGTTTCAGGTTAGTAAGCCAATAGGTAATTGATAAAATCCAAAGGGGTACTCAATCTGAAATATTTTATCACAACTATTTAAACCATAATGATAAAAATGTAGAACCGGAAGAGTATTTTAAACCTATTATTCAGATAAAAGTAATTTGACTTTGTTTGACGATAAAATACATTTTTTAAATGCTTTATCTAAAACTGCCTCAAATTGTATGAAGCATGACTGTTTATATTTTGGAAGCTTAACTTTGAGTTTAGAAAAATACTTATTTACTTATTGGATTCAACATGGATATTTAATCTTCCCGAACCTGTTCCGCATGATGAAATCATCAAATTCTTCATAGGTCATATATACTTTTTATTATGTAGTTGTCCGTTTAAAACCACATTAACTTGATTTTGCATATTAATGAAATTTAAACAACCAGTTTTTAATTTATCTTTGTTTAATTACCACCCTTCATATTATGTAATCTCTGTCAGTTTCCTAAACCATAATATACACCTGACATTTTATGATAACTTTTTAAATATTCCTCTTCGTCACTAAGAAAATATGGTACTTATGATAGAATGTTAGCCTCACAATGAAATAATCTTAAAAAACTTTACTTTTCAAGCAATTTTAACTTTTAAACTCTTGGAAACATGGCTTTTCTGACTGATTGACTGACGACAAAATCAACGTACAGCCTGGTACACAGGTGCACCGGTTCAAGTTACTACACTTCTTAGCAGTACACAAATAACAGGTGAATACAAAAAAGTGATATCAAAGTAGACAAAGTTGCGTAAGAGAATAAACAATCTGAAGATAACGGTTAATGCTAATACTCAAGCTTTGAATATCAAGGAGTGAATACATCTGCGCCATTGTGACCAATTTTCCGCCATGTCACCAAGAGTCTTCAACCACTCGTCTTTTTATTCCCAGGAACTCCAACCAAGTAGTCTACATCTCTGTACCACAGATCAACAGTAACAGAATTCGTCGACTGGGTTCTAGATGTTGGTCTGCTCACCCTGAACCCTATTCCAACCCAACCCAACTTCCCCTGGCATGGTATGTCGAGGTAGGCGGTGGTTCGACATGTATAGTACATGTCCAAGTGATCTCAGCCGATGAATGCTCAAAACCTCATCAATCGACTTGCCTTTCTTGCCTAGTAATCTTCGACTGATCTGAACATCGCCCACAGGATGGCTTCACAAAACACAAGCAGTACTACGAAGACATGTTATCAGAACCCTATAGTCTCTTCGTATCTACTAGTTTCAGCAGCCATATCTCACAGCTGTATAACGGTACAGAAACAGTTACAACACAGCATACTCATCCTTTGATATATAGCCGATATCTCGCCGGGCCACAGATGACGCTAGTTGGCAAATGCCAGACAGGCCTTCTTTGTCCGAACTGAAATTTCATCAGCAGTCATCCCGCTTAAGTTGATGCAACTCCTCAAGTAACTGAACCGGTCAACGCATTCGACCATTTTACCTTCTATCATTAAACTTAGAGTGGTCGCAGACCAGTAGTGGAGCGTTATCTTACATTTGACAGTTGCGAAACATATGTCAAACCTACTCAGGTTTCGCCTCAACGCTTGCAAAGGCCTCTTCATTTTTTCAGCCTCTTCACTTAGCAATATAATGTTGTCTGCATGCTCCAAGTCAACAAGATAACCTCCAGGGAGTATATAACTGTATGTGAAGCCAGGCGTACCTAGAGTTACGTCTATTAGAATATCTGTGATGAAGTCAAATAGGAAAGATGATAGTGGACAGCAGTGGTTGTTGTCAATTCACGTGACAACTCTCCATAAGCCTAAACATAGCTTAGTGAGTTCTGTTGGAGTGTTTTATAAGTATTAAATACTTGCTCGGTCAGTCAGACAGTGTAGCAACACCATGGTGGATAGAATCAAATGGCGTCGATTACAGATCGAGAAATGTGGCAAGTGTCGGTAGCCAGTAAGTGTGCCTGTGTTACGGTACGTTTTGGAGGGTGAAGAACTGATCGATACATCATCGTCCAGGACTGAAGCAAGTCTGATTTTCTCGAGTTCGGTGTTCTCGAGCTCCGATTAGGTGTCATATAACTATGGATCTTAGGATCTTGGACACAATATTGGTCAAACATTGGGATTTGATGAGATGGGTGTTGGTTTACAGTCTCAGTGTGAACAGCATCACTCACTGGAGAACAGCTACATCAAGCTGACGAGCTCCAAATAAGACGAAGTGCGCATCCTGGATTCCACTGCAAGTCACCAAGACGAATATTATTCAGACTAATTCCCTTGTGGCTGTCAAACTGCTGACTTCCACTTACAATACATTTCTTTAACTATTAACGCTTGTTCTTGTATAACTGCTTATTCCCTGAGGACTGATGATGTTCTAATGATAGTGTGAAATCAAACGGCCTCTCAATCATATTTTGTGAATGTGCTAAAGAGAAACATTTTTGGAATGGTAAGTAAATATTTATGTAAATGCCACCACTTCAAGGGATGCCTAGCAACCATATGGCTCTATAAAAGTCTGTTTATTCTGATTTCTGTGTGTATGAGAGTTTATGGTAAGGTACCATCTGAGCTGTGCAAACCACATGGTGTCTGACAGATGCCCACCATAGTTTTACTTAACTTTATTATTACTGATATAATTAGGGAGGTCTTTTTATCCCTTCCTGGCTTTACGGGAGTTGAACTTTTAGCAAAAGGCTGCTTATTAGATCTGGCATCCATAGATAACATAGTCCCATTACTTGATGTTGACGAGATAAAGAGCCTTCAAGGTATTTTAAGCAGCCACCTGAGGGTGTTTGATATGTGTCTCATCCCTTTTAAGTCGATTGTAACTCCAGGAATGGTTCAGGTTGGTACCTCGCCTGGCAGTAGGGAGTGACGTGGTTCGGCAAACTCACAACATTACTTATTTTAGAAGTTGAATCACCCCTGCTAGATAAGTGACCAAAAAAATCTCTAAACAGATAAAAAAAGGCTTAGCTGACTCTCATCAACACATGTCGACTTTGACTTCGACGGGATATCCGATTGCCTACTTAGGGTCGAGTTTACTCCGCAGCCATGCTTTCTATTCTACTTTGAGGAAATGAAACACGGTGACTCAATGTAAAGGATGTGGGAAGGCCAGGGATATTCAAATAAAGTAGCTTTCGTTACATTTGCTTTTTTTGTCGAATCACCACACTAGATCATACGGTATCACATATTCCTACATAAAACCTATTATAATAGGGGATATGTTTATATCCATTCTAAGTAAAATGTAGTGTGTAAAATACCGAACAGTAATTTTTTAAGATGTTGTCGAAATACTTAGAGAAAGAGAAAAATATTGATGTTATCAATTTCACGACCGGCTTGGGTAGTACAACAAAATCTCAATAAGTTCATGTCAATTATTAGGAAAATAAGCTTGAGAAATTATACTGCTGATCCTTGAAACAGAGATATACTTGTTTTTGCCTTTTCCCACTTACCCATCACCTCAATAAAATATAGTGTTACCTTACGGGACGTAAACTACTAAAGTTACAGAGGTCGGAAATTATCGCCGACCATGGTCTTACCTAAATTTGTAAGTAGGCAGAAAACAATTACTGTTGATACTGAAAAATCTACACTTTTTCCCTGACAATCAAATTCTCATCACAGTAATACATCTGTTTGAGCAATCACGAACAGTTAACGAATAGGAAGGTAATGAGTTCTGAGTTCATCAGTAATTACACAGAACTATTTTTATCAACATAAAAGGAGATTAAATACCTGAATGAAGCCAGGATGATTTTAGTCGCTCTTAAAGATAGGATTTCGAAATACCTGTGACTTTTCAGAAGTTAGAAATAAACCACACCGTTCTTAGTTTTGCTTTATAACAAAGGAGAACCGATTTACGTCACGAACATAGTAGAAGCATTTTTTTGGATGTAATAAGCTATACATTCTTGGAAACAGCAGTGACAACCTGTCAGCTATGACTTAAGTTAACTTTCCAAAGCCTGAATATGTGGAATATCTGCTCACTTTTCTGCCTAAGACGCTTGTCTCCTGATATTAGAGAGCTAGCTAAAAACTGGAAAATTCATGAGGTGCCATCAAACACATTAAAAAAATTAAGCTAACATCTGGATTTTGTTATCAGCAGTTTGAAATCTTCAGGAATTAGTTCACTTCACCCGAAGTTGCAGATACACCTTGCCGACAAGTATCAAGAAGCACAAAACTTAGGTCCACAGTATCCTGGTGATAGCCTCCAACCGACTAAGAGGCTAGATTATCTGGATAC